AAAGGCTTGGCTAAAATCGAGAGGGAACCTTCTTGTCAGCCGATCTCAAAACTAGAGTTCGAGTTTGAGAGACGAAGGTTGACAAAGGAGGACATCAGGGAATTGCTTTTCAGGGAGATACTAGAATATCATCCTCAGCTGCTCAAAGACTATATAAATGGAAACGGAGGACCTAATTTTCTTTATCCAAGGTTTGAATCCTATCTAATTTACCTAATTTATCTATCATAAAATCTAATTCTCGTTAGCTTGTATTTCTTTCGCTCTTATCCACGTGATTTTATTGTTATTTTTTTTTATTGCAGTGCCATTGGTCAATTCAGAAAGCAGTTTGCGTATCTCGAGGAGAACGGCGGCAGAAGTGCACCGGTTTTCCCTTTGGAGAGGAAGCATGCGTCTCTGCCAAGGTATTACACATTTTAGACAATTCGGTTTTTAATGGATCAACATATAACTGACTGTTAGATATGTTAATTATGCTAATTCTTAAGCTGCTTTGAGGAGGCGGCATCGAGAAAAACACGGATTCATCTGTTTCTCATTTTTGAATGGGATTTCCACAACAGTTAAATGACAGATGTATAATATAGCACCTTTTCTTCCCCTCTTGAGATGATTTCCAACTTGTATTCTGTTTAATTGCAGGTCTACTACAGTTCATTCGAATACTATCCTTCCAAATACGCAGTCGACTTCGGTTTTGTGCCAGAGTCAACAAGCTAAAGACGAGGCTTCAAAAAAAGAGAGCACCGTTGCTGGTATTCCGAAGACCGCACGGCCTCCTCCTAGGGTGCCATCAGGTAGGACTGATTTTGTTCTGCTTTTACCATTAGGTTTGTGTACCTGTTCGTTCTACCATTTAACTGATGCTGGATCTTTTTTATTATCCTTTCGCTTTGTACAGCAAAACCAGGGAGAATTGTCGGATCTGCCATACCATACGAGAACCGGAAAAACACTAAAGATGGTTTTGATGCTAATATCCTTTACCGAAATGCAGTCCTTCCTCCACAGACCATCTCCCCTCATTGTTACTTCCGGACCACCACCACAATCCAAGAGAAGTCCTGGAATACAAACCGATAGGAATCCTCAGGCCAAGCTGCAACCTAAGTATACCATAGTGGCAAAACCAGCACCAGGAATGGTTTTCGAGGTTAACAACCACCTATATTACCAACCACAAACCAGGTCCGGCCAATTAACCGACAGAATGCCTATCGACACGAAACTTCCACAGGCACAGACCCAGTATGGTGCAGTCGGTGCTGCTGCTGTGGCTGTTGCCTCCCACGGTAGTGTAGGGACAGTTCAATATAGATTGTATTAAAAACTTATATCTGCACCTCAAATTGAGGGTAGTTAGGGAGGGTCTATTTGGAGAAGGGATGAGCTTATGCCCCCCCCCCCCGGGCGGGGGGTTTTGCTCTTTTCTCTTATCATTCACTTTTGTAATTATAGGTTGTATCATTGGATTCTATTAAATCAAATAAATTGCTTCAAATTATTAGGTGAATCTAATACACCCTATTTTTTTTGCTTTACTGGAATAAATTTTATTAAAAGAATAGAGTTGTGTTGTGTTTTCATTTAAAAAAAATTGACATATAATCAGTAACATAACCTTGAGGTCGTGGGATCGAGTCTCACGGAGGGTATTTCATAATTCGGAGGTCTTCTACGGAAGTTGCTCTCAACTTAGTATTGTGGGTAGTCTACTACTATCTTACCTCCCCTTATTCTATTATATGTGAGAATAAGGGACAACTATTTTTATATATAATCAGTAACATATTTAGAAATTTAAGGATGGGTCATAATTTTTTTTATAAATAATGAATGTGCAAATTTTTTTAATATATATGAAATTAAATTTCATTATTTTTTTCAAAATAATAGAATGCACTTGATCCCTTAGTAGACTTTGCATCTGCCCAGCATACAAGGTTGACATCACCTATATGTTTTGTTTTACATTGTCTCAATTTTATTTTGAAATTTTAATGTAATAGTAATAAATGTATGAAGTGTTAATTTTTTGAAAGTTGGAACATAGTGTTATTGTAATTATATATATATATATATATATATATATATATAGTGTTAGAATCTATTCACATTTAGTGTAAAATATTTAATTTTACATCCTTTTAGGTTAGTTGGATGAAGAAAAATCAAAAGTTGAGATTAATTCTTTATTTTTTTAAGTGAATATCTTCTCATTTTCTATTTGTCAATTTCAGCCTTTGATTTTTCTTCATCCAATGATCCTCAAAAGGTGTCAACTTTTTAGTTTTACACTATGTAACTGGATCTTAGATCATATATATATATATAATGCATACAAATCAAACATTAATAGACACAATAGATAATATATAAAATCAATACAAAAATAAATTAATTATTGTTATACACACACCATTTTCCTGTGGCATACAATTTAATTTTGTTGTTGTTAATAAAATTAATTTATCATACCATCATAATATTTCTTTAAAAGCCTTCAAATTTGGGCTTTATACCATTTAAAACCAAGTACTCTACCAAAATCCAAACCCATTTGGCAGCTTATCCTTCTCTTCCAAATCCCACAATTTTTTCTCTTTTATTCTCTCTGGTTGGAGATTTCAGTGGACAGCCATAATCACCAAGGTTAGAGTTTCTGAGTATTTAATTTTTTAACTTCTTTTCATATTCAAAGATTTGGCATTGTTAATTACATAAAACTATAAACTTTTTTGTTCTTTTTAATACTGGAAACAGACAACTGTTTATGGCTTCAAGGACGTTCCTTTGCTTCAACCATGGAAAATTCTTCCTACCCTTTACTACAGCCAAGATCACTCCTTCCTCTAAAAGACCCATAAAAAGTTTCAGCTTTTCTTCCATAAGTTGCAGCCTTAACACTCCTCATCCAACTGTTGAACCAAAATCTCAAATGGGTGGCATCCCAAATGTTGTTAAAATACTTGAAGAAAGAGGATTGCTGGAATCTATAACCAATGAAAATCTCAGGTTGGTTTGTTCAGACAAACTGCTGCTCTCAAAGTTTATTGTGGTTTTGACCCAACTGCTGAGAGTTTACATTTGGGAAACCTTTTGGGGCTCATTGTGGTTTTGACCCAACTGGTAAAAGCCAAGAAAGACCTGAACTTGATTTGAATACATTGGAGAAAAACATTGTTGGGATCATGGAGATTAACAGTAAGATTCTTAGTAAAAATGCAAATTTGGGTTCTGAAAAAAGCTCAAACTTTGTGATTTTAAACAATTATGACTGGCGGAAAGAGGTTATGCTGCTTGATATTCTTAAACAAGTCGGTTGATATGCGAGGGTTGGGAGTATGACGAGCAAGGAGAGTGTCAAGAAGAGGTTGGAATTTGAACAGGGGATGAGCTATATCGAGTTTACTTATCAGTTGTTGCAAGGTTATGATTTTTTGTACCTTTCTAAGAATGGAGGAGTGAATGTATAAATTGGAGGGAGTGATCAGTGGGGTAATATTACTGCTGGGACTGAGTTGATAAGGAAGATTTTACAAGCTGAAGGAGCTTATGGCTTGACATTTCCTCTTTTATTGAAGAGTGATGGTACCAAGTTTGGAAAATCAGAAGACGGTGCAATTTGGCTTCCACCGTCTATGCTGTCTCCGTAAAAGTTTTACCAGTATTTCTTCTCTGTTCCGGATGCAGATATGGTGAGGTTTATCAGAATCCGTACATTCTTGGATATGGAAGAGATAAATGAGTTGGAAAGTGCAATGAAAAATCCTGGTTATGTGCCCAATACCGCCCAGTGGAGGCTGGCCGAGGAAATTACTCGTTTTGTTCACGGTGAAGATGTTTTGAATGAGGCTCTTAAGGTAACTGAAGCATTGAGACCTGGATCAGAGACGAAATTGGATTGGAAAACTATTGAAGGGATTGCTGAGGATGTTCCATCGTGCTCCTTGCCTTAAACTGAAGTGTTGAATCTTTCGATCATTGATCTTTCTGTCTCATCTGGTTTGCTCGAGAGCAAATCAGCTGCCCGTCGTCTATTGAAGCAAGGGGGTGTCTACTTGAACAACAAAAGAGTGGATACTGAAAGTAAAAGAATAGAGGCTGAAGACATTGTAGATGGCAAAGTTCTTTTATCCGTGGGTAAGAAGAACAAGTTGGTTGTAAGAATCTCTTGATTGCTTGCAGCTGAGCCTGGTTATTTATTTGAAACTTTTTGCAACATTCTTGCAGTATTTCTTTCTCTTGTTACAAATATGTATCCTTTGAATAATGTAGATGAACAAGGCATAAATATCATAGCAGCATCATATTTTGATTTTCAGAGGAAAGACGGACCATCCTGTGTGAAGTGGTCTTAGCAAGTATGTTTTAAACTGTGAAATGCCATAATCTTTTTGATTGTGTATATACTATGCAAATGCTTATTTGGCATTGCCGTTAAGCGTGGAAAAGAATGTAAATACTGAAGAACCTTTGAGGCAATTATCTAAAGCAGGAAGCTTAGGAAAATGGTGATATCTTTGAGAATGGCATCTAATAATGCTTCAATCTAAATTTATGCTCTCAGCTAGCTGTTTGCAATTGAATTCTGAAAGCTTATGGTCAGTTGAAGACCATGATATTTCATGGACTCACCTAGAAACTCGAGCAATACCATTGTCACGTTTTGCTTTATCTATTTTTTTAGGCAATGGGTTTAAGGTAACCACTAACAAGTAAAGCTAGTAGTTGCCGGAAATGGTTTTGGCCTTTCCTTGTCTCGAGCTCAGCTTTGTTATATGTCACCGAGAAAGGTTGCTCGAAATTTTACATTGGGAGCACTTCACTGTCTCAGTTGATATAAGGCAAGTTCTTTATGTTATTATTTTGCTTTTATTATTATCTTTATTGAAAAGGGAAGTATGAAATGAGCATCATCATAGTTCTGCTGATAAGTGCTGTGATCTTAAAGAAACGTAAATGCATTGAATTCGAGCACCTGGGTCGAAAACATGTTTTAAAATATTACAAGTGATTCTACGGCCCTAGGGTTTACCCTAGATGGTTCATAGAGTCACCTTTATGAGATGGTATCAAACAGGTTTCGAGCTTGAATCTCAGCTTCTGCAACCCTTTGTCCCATTTAAATACATGCATACATGTATATGCAGTTTATTCGAAAGACCTGATTATAATGTTTCGGAGCAATGTCCTTCAACTGTTGCATTATAACTTGAGTAGAAAATCAACAGATATCATCCTTAATCATGTTCTATTCTCATGAAATCAAGATAAGATTTTCCCTGAAGTTTACGAGCAAATAGCCCTTTGTAGTACTCTTCAACTTTTACTCTCCTAAACATTGCAGGTGTTTGTTCGGAGATCAAGCTTGGTGCAGGGCCTATTTCACCATCGTCCCCCACGCCACAGAATGTGGCAAATGAGAGCCTTTCCCTTTCGGAGTTCACTGTGGCACGGTGTTCAATGCTACGGTACCTTCCGTTTGTTATAATCTGCCATATAAGAGTTCACACAAGCAGTGCACACACACACACATTAACAGAAACTTAATCTAGAGTGTTAATGCGTTCATGATAAATATTTACCTCGAAAATGTCTCCAATGTTTACGATGAAGGCATTTGGAAGGGGTTTAACAGAAACCCACTTCCCATCTTTCTTTATCTGTAGACCTTCCACTTCATTGAGCTGTAGCAAAATAGTTATAACCGAGGCATCGGAATGAGGGGTGAGTCCGATGACCTGTGCCGGTAAATGACATGGTGGGTAATAGTTCACCCTCATTGCTTGCCTCCCCTCTCCAATAAACTCCATTTCCTCGGTTTTCATATTAAGAGCTTCGGCCATCTTTGCTAGGATAGCTATGTATAGATTGTTTAACTCGGATGAGTAGAGCTCCATTGTATCTCTACATTCAAAAGCAATGAAATATGAGTTTGTTTCATGTCATGTTTTAGTTAATTTTTGGTATCTCGTGATTGTATCGTGTTCGAAGCTGTCGTGTCTACCTCAAAGGAAGAGGGAGCCTGGGGAACAAGTGAGGCTTTCGAAGATGGAGCGGAAGAGTGATCATGTAGAAGATGTCACCCCAATCAAGCTTTTGATCTTCGAACACGACAAACGATTGTCCGAATCCTTCAACTTGCCCAGGATACTGCCAGAACTTGTTCTTCTCTTCCATTGGAAGGTTGAAGAAGTCCCGAATCTGGGTCTTTATTTTGTCCAACAGAGTTAAGCTCACTCCATGGTTGACTAACTGCGGTTGAGTTTAGCCAAAAATAAAATTTTTAATCCCGACTAAAGCTATCACATAACAAGAAGATGGAAACATGTGTCCTAACTAATCTATTAAAACAAGAAACGAATCAAGATTTGTCTAATATTTGAGAACCAAGTTAGGGATTGTTTTACCTGGAAAAATCCCCATTCTTTACAAGCAAAATCAAGCTTGTATATTTCATGATCCATTGATTCATCAGAAACCAATCTATGCATATCAATGACCGGGATTTCGAGCATCGGGCCGCCATCGGGAACGACATCTCGTTCAATATCAGGGCGGAGATATCTGTCGGGAACGGCGGATAAGGGTTGCTTAGCCAGCTCTTGAACGCTTGGCACCAGCAGAGAACTTCCGACGTTGGATTGTTTTGATCCCATGTTTCTTCAGATTCTTCTGGTAGCGAATGCTGATTTTGACTTTGTTGTAAATCGTTCTGTAAACATTATAACAAAGTTATCTCTATTTCCTACCAACCCTTCTGGATAATGAATGAAAAAGCTTCATTTTTTGTCTGCTAGTGAATAGAAAATATTCAAATGATTTGTTCTTCCTCGTCGAATTGCAGGAGAAGAATCCACCATGCTTATCTAACACCTACTTTGTGTTCCGATAAAAACACAGGCTGAAAAATATTTTTCTCATGTTCGATAGGTAGAAAGTATTTTCCGAAAAATATTTTCCTATGTTTGATAGCTTTAATTGATTTTACGAAAAATATTTTTTAGTGTTTGATAGTTGTAATTGATTTTTCTTAATGTAATTTATTTTCCTAGTTCTTTTGGATTTAATTGATTTTTTCGTAAAATATTTTCTCAACTTTTCACTTCAAATTATAAGCAATCAAAATAATATTATTTTATTTATTTAATATTAATATAATATTTAAGTATCATTTAATGAAAATATCAATTATTAAGATATTTAATATATAATATAATTTTAATAATATTATTTTTGTTAATATTATATTAATATATACTCAATTATATTATAATAATATATAATGTTTTATTTTTAATTTAATAATATATAATAAATTTTTAATATTATTTATTTTTTATAATAATATTATTAAATTATTCATAATGAGTAATATTATTTTATATATTTAATATTAATATAATACTGCACGAATTAAGCAACTTCGATGGTAAAATAATTGTTGTTATTTCTTAAAGTCCTAGGTGATAAAATACTAATTTATTATATTTTATATTTATAATATGAAAATTTATCAACCAGACATGATTTACATGCATTTTACGTAATTCAATTTTCAAATAATTTAATTTACGTAAACCATTCTCACAAAATTGATTACAATGTATCAAACAAGTGAAAAATGATTCACACAACATAATCAAAACACTGTAAAATAATTTTCAAAAACTATTTTTTATAAAATATAATTCATTTTACGTAAAATAATTTTTAAGTAATTTATTTTATGTAAATTATTTTTTTAAAAACCAATTACAATCTATCAAGGGAACAGAGTAAAAGAGCTGCCGATAACATACTGGGGAAATTCCCTTATTAATAACTACAAGAAAATCAACTGATTCAATTCTCAATCCTGTTGAATTCTAAAGGTATCAATGTAAGCTTTCCCCTGAAGCCTACGAGAGAACAAACCTTTGTAGAACTCTTGAACCTTCACCCTGGTAAACTTAGCAGGCGTTTGTTCCGAGACCAAGCTCGGTGCAGGGCCTAATTCCCCATCGTGCCCCAGGCCGAAGAACGTCGCGAACGAGAGCCGTTCCTTCTCCGGGTGCACCGTCACACGGTGCTCGATGCTATAGTATCTTCCGTTCGATATGATCTCTAAAATGTCGCCGACGTTGATAACGAAAGCATCCGGGAGGGGTTGAATTTGAACCCACTTACCGCCTTTCCTTATCTCTAGACCATCGACGTCGTTGAGCTGAAGCAAAATGGTAATGAGAGTGGAGTCCGAGTGAGGAGTGAGTCCCATGACCTGGTCAGACAGCTCACATGGCGGGTAACAGTTAACCCTAATCGTCTGCCTTCCTTCTCCGACAAACACCGTCATTTCCTCCGTTTTCATGTGCAAAGCTTCCGCTATCTTTCCTAGCATGGCCGTGGATAAATTGTTTAAATCAAACGTGTAACGCTCCATCGTTTCTCTATATAGACGGCATTAAAATAAGAAGATTAAAAAAAACAGTACTTTAATATTATTTGAAGACAAGATGGTACTCATTTGATCTAGATCTGATCTTAATATTATTTTAAGCGGTGTATTTTCTGTTATATTTCTTATTCAAGTGTTTTAATTATAATTTTATGGAGTTTATACCTCAAAGGAGAAGCGAGGGTGGGGATCAAGCGAGGGTTTCGAAGACGGAGAGGATGAGTGAGCACGTAGAAGAGGTCACCCCAATCAACCTTTTGATCTTCGGACACGACAAAAGCTTGTCCGAATCCCTCAGCGTTCCCAGGTGTCTGCCACCATTTCTTCTTCTCTTCCATTGGAAGCTTGAAGAACTTAGCAATCTCTGCCTTCAGATTCTCCAACAAAGTCGAGTCTACTCCATGGTTCAACAGCTGCACATGAATTCAACAATATTAAAAGTGATAACACAATAATATTAGCAACTCATGTTTAGATCGAGGTAAAAAACCTGGAAGATTCCCCATTCTTTACAAGCAAAATCAAGCTTTTCGATCTCGGAATTGTTTGGTTCTCCGGAAACCAATTTCTGCATGTCGATAACTGGGATTTCCAGAGCCTGATCACCGTCGGGAACGACGGCTCTTTCGATGTCGGATCGAATGTATCTGCCGGGAATGGAGGCCGAGAGCTCTTTAGCCATTTCTACAACACTCGGAACCAGCAAAGAACTGACCTCAACCGATGCCATGTTTCTTAATTTTTTCCTTCCAATAATAAGCAAAAGCTGTGATTTCAGTTTGCTTTGATTGTGGGATATATATTGCAAAAACTAGAATTGTTCGTCTAACTCAGTTGGTAGAGCGCAAGACTTTTAATCTTGTAGTCGTGAAATCTGAATCTCACTGAAAATAATTCATAACACGGAAGCTTCGCAAATTTTTATATTGCAAAAAGTTGCACTATTCCCCCACGCATAAGAAAATTCCACCAACTGAGAGATTGCAAGTTGCAAGTAAGTTCATAGAGCATTATAAAATGATGTTATTATATTATTGTTTCAAAAAGATAAAGTTATACGACCCTATTTGATAATATACTAAACCTGTTAAAAGGGTTGATGGGTTTTGTCCAATTCTAAGGCATGTTAGAACTATTTTTTTTCGTGTAATTATTTATTAATTTATGGGTAAATTACACGGGTGACAACTCAACTATGGTCAAAAATCATTTTGATTACCGATGTTTTAATTTGATCAAACAGACCACTCAACTATTTAAATGATTCAATCAAACAACTGATAACTTTTGATGGTAGAGGTGACATGGAAGTTAAAATTTAACCGAGAGAATGACTCCTCAATTAACTTTTTGGTATAATTCTTTATTTGGTCCTTGTTACTTACACAAGATGTCAATTTGACCCTAATTTTAATTAAATTAAATAAATTTAATCATCTAATTAAATTAAATAAATTTAATCATCTTGTATTATAGTATATAAATGCTTTACTTAAAATTAATAGTATTTTATATATCTTAAATATATCTTTTATTTTTGTTTTAACTTATTAAATATATTTTATTTTTATCTTATTTAAATATCTTAACTTAAAATATATTTTGAATATTTAAAATAATATATTTTTAAGTGATGATAAAGATAAAATATTTTTTTTCATTAAAATAAAAATAAAATATAGTTAATATGTTAAAAAAAATAAAAGATATATAAAATATTATTAATTTTGAGTAAAGCATTTACATACTATAATACAAGATATATATATTTGTTGTCCATCATATACCAAATGGCAGAGGGTGAACATGTCACCCTCTGCTTGGAGTAAAATAAATATATTAAATTAAAAATAAATTAAAATAAACTTAACCTTCTAATTTAGAGACTGACACATGTCACAATTTAATTAGAAGATTAAATTTATTGAATTTAACTAAAATTAGGATCAAATTGACATCTTGTGTAAGTAACAAGGACCAAATATATAATTATACCAAAAGGTTAACTGAGGAGTCATTCTCTCGGTTAAATTTTAACTGCCATGTCACCTTCACCTTTAAAAGTTAACGACCAGTGGCTTGATTGAACCATTTAAATAGTTGGGTGGTCTGTTTGATCAAATTGAAATATCAGTGGTCAAAATGATATTTGACCATAGTTAACTGGTTACCCGTGTAGTTTACCCTTAATTTATTAAAAATCAATTGATATGGTAGTTTGTTGTTAGAACCCTTCATAAAAGTTAGTTTTTTCATTTATTTTTAATCACTATTGAAAAGTATCTCTCTCGATTCTTTTACAATCATCAAGACATCAATAAACTCATTTCATTATGCTCCATCACTTTTTTTATTTAAATTTTTTCAAAACCTCTTTAAAATTCACGGAATTAAATAAAAAATATATGATTTCTAGAGAGTTTAGGACTTTCTTAGATTTGAAATGTTTTAAGTGTTCGTTTTAAAATTCAAACAATAAGAAGTTATTTTAAGAAGATGAATAACATACCTCAAATCTAATTTTATCGAACAATCATGAGATTAGAGTATTAATAAGTTAAATCTTTAGATGAATTTTATCGATTTTAAATTAGTTTCGTGAAAAACTAATTAGGGTGAAAATAAGTAAGAATGAAATGTAAACATTTTTGACGTGACGTGAAAAAAACTGTGCTGCTACTTTTTGGTCAATATAGTTAATGCGAAATGTAGTAGTTTTTGAAGAAACGTTGTGGAGTTGGCTTCGATCTCGTCTTCTAATGCAAAATGCGATCGTTTTTATGGATCCAAATTATGAATTCTTAATTTTATGCACCATAAATGTAATTTGATAATATTTTTGGGTAAATTGCACGTTAACTCACTGTAATTTTAATACTTTCAATTAATCATTAAACTTTAGACATTGAATTTTTTTGTCATTATGTGTTAATCTTATAACGGTTTTATGATGTGGCGTTAAACCCTCTATTCTTTACAGTTATTTTGACCAGTCAATGGTCATTTTGACCTTCTATGTGGCAAGCAAATGAAGTGCTCTTGGGACAGCAAACCTACACCACCTTGGACGAGTTCAAATCCACTCCCCCCACCTGCAAATGCACCTTCACTTTGTCCTTCAATATTTGTTCTCTTAGCTTGTTTGTGAAGTGCCAAAGCGGGACGAAAGTAGCATTTGGCCATTTGGGTTCCTACATAAGTACACAAGCTTGCAAGACGAGTTCTTTACGGAGTCCGGCAATAAAAAGTGGGTAAGTGAGTAGCAGTTATTCTTGAAGATGTAGAATCGGTTACATTATAAACTTGACCATCGACGTGAAGCTCGGCCAGGAAGAATGGAACAAGAAGTAAGGATTTTTAGAGAGCAAAGGGTGATTGTCATCGGTGAATGGATATTTGGAATTGGTAACAAGAAAGATATTGGTTTCCCGAGCTTGAAAGTGGCGTTGGCTAGTGAGCGTGAAGACGAAGAGGGTGCGAAAGAAGATGAGGAAGAAGATGCTCCTCATTTGGATTTTCAGGTAAGAAGAAGTCATCTAAGAAGAGAAACATAGTTGCAATTGCAGCCTCGGTTGACGAGCTTGAAAATGAAGAGGGTGTAAAAGAAGATTAGTAAGAAGATGTGCCTTCATTGTCTTTATCAGATAGGGAGGGGACTGTGCTAAGCTCCTGGCTACAATCTCATGCGGCGGCAACATTTCCCCTTCTTCCTCCACGTCCAACTCTAAATCATCTTCGAACTCCCTGTTTGTCCTCATCGTTTTCGCTAGAATAGGCACGTTACCTGGAGCCGATTGATGATAAATCCCTAAAGAAGTCGCCCCGATCGGGACTCGCTCTTGTGGCGGTTTCGGAACCGGAGGGATGAGAGGGGGAAGAGAAAGGGGAGAAGCAAGAGGAACAATGGGAAGAGAGGAAAGAGAGGGAGAGGGAGAGGGAGAGGGAGAGGGGAAGGAGAGGGGTTGGGTTAGGGAAAGGAGTGGTATTACGGGGAAGAGAGGGAGGGGCAATTTTGATAGTTTACCTATTTTATTTTATTATTTAATTCTTATTTATTTTGATAAAGAAAATAAAAATTAATAAGTGACGCCGCGTGTTCTGATTGAACTGTGAATTTTATTTTTAATGGTGTTAACTATTTGGAATAGAAAGATATAGTTCACGAAAAAAAAAATATTTAAACTAATATTTTACAATCATCTTAAACAATTAAAAAATGTATTTTATTTATAAAAAGATATAGTTCATGGGAAAATATATATTTTATGTAATAGTTTACAATCATCTTAAACTATTAAAAAATTATTGACATATCTTCATAAAACTTAGACCATTGACCTTCTCTTCCAACAACACATTGGGGGCAATTCTCTTATTATAACTACTAGAAAATCAACTGGTCTAATCCTCAATCCTGATCAATTTTAAAGGTATCAATGTAAGCTTTCCCCTGAAGCCCACGGGAGAACAAGCCTTTGTAGAATTCCTGAACCTTCACCTTCATAAATTTGGCAGGCGATTGTTCCGATACCAAGCTCGGTGCAGGTCCCAATTCCCCGTCGTACCGCAGGCCGAAGAACGTCGCGAACGAGAGCCGTTCCTTCTCCGGGTGCACCGTCCCGCGATGCTCGATGCTACGGTACCTTCCGTTCGATATGATCTCTAACATGTCGCCGACGTTGACGATGAAAGCATCCGGCTGGGGGTGAACTCGAACCCACTTCCCGTCTTTCCTTATCTCTAGGCCGTCGACGTCGTTGAGCTGAAGCAAAACGGTAATGAGGGTGGCATCCGAGTGAGGAGTGATTCCCATGACCTGGTCGGACATATCACATGGTGGGTAACAGTTAACCCTAATCGTTTGCCTTCCTTCTCCGACCAACTCCTTCATTTCCTCGATCTTCATGTGCAAAGCTTCTGCTATCTTCTCCTGCATGGCCTTGGATAGACTGTTTAAATCCGACGTGTAACGCTCCATCGTTTCACTACATCAAAAACATTAAAAAAAGTGTAATTTTATTACAACCAAGTAGTGTCGTGTTTTAATTACTAGTATACCTCAAAGGAGAAGGGAGGCTGGGGATCAAGCTAGGGTTTCGAAGACGGAGAGGATAAGCGAGCATGTAGAAGAGGTCACCCCAATCAAGCTTTTGATCTTCGGACACAACAAAAGCTTGTCCGAATCCCTCAGCTTTTCCAGGTGTCTGCCACCATTTCTTCTTCTCTTCCATCGGAAGCTTGAAGAACTTAGCAATCTCTGCCTTCAGATTCTCCAACAAAATCGAGTCAACTCCATGGTTCACCAGCTGCACGTGAATTTAACAACATTAAAAGTGATAACACAGTACCATTAGTAACTCATGTTTAGAAGCTTCCGCATGTAAGAAACCTGGAAGAATCCCCATTCTTTACAAGCAAAATCAAGCTTTTCGATCTCGGAATTGTTTGGTCCTCCGGAAACCAATTTCTGCATGTCGATAACTGGGATTTGCAGAGCCTTATCACCGTCGGGAACCGCGGCTTTCTCGATGTCGGATCGGAGGTACCTGCTGGGAATGGAGGTTGAGGGCTCTTTAGCCATTTCTACAACGCTCGGAACCAGCAAAGAACTGACCTCAACCGATGCATTGGACGCCATTTTTTCTTCTTGTTTTTAACGCAGGAGAATTGAAAAAAACTGTGATTTCATTTCGGTTTGATAGTTAGATATATATAGCACAACCCTCCAGCAGTCCCGTTTACCTACGCAATCCTTCTATATGCTCATTGGTTCGTTAATCCTTCTAGTTGTTTGAATTTTATTTTATGACATTATATTAATGTCTTCAAAAATATAGAGTTGACATTATATGATAGCAGCCCTGGGCCAGGGCAGGAGGGGCGCCCGCCCAGGGCCCATAAAATAATTTTTTTAATACAATATATTTTTTATTTTTCTGATAATAAATTAAAAAATTGTAAAATAAAATAGTCTAATCTATGCATTTAATATATAAACTATTAGTTCTAATCCGCTTTGGTACTTAAACTTTTAATTTTTTCAAAATCATATATAACATTTAGTTTTTATTTCATTTTAGTATCCGTTGTTAAAAACTTAAAGCGTTTAGTACCTAACTATCAGTTTTGGTTTGTTTTAGTACCTAAAATTTCAAAAAAATTTAAAACTTAACGTTAAATTTTGAACGTGTACTAAAATGAAATAAAAAGACTAAAGTTCTTAACACGTAATTTACGTACGTATGATTTTGAAAAAATTGAAAGTTTAGGTACTAAAACATACCAAAATTGATAATTTAGGTACTAAACACGTAATTTACTCAATAAAATAATTGGGCCCATGAATTTATTAAGGTGTCAATTATCTTTATTGAATTTTATATTAACGTTAATAAATGTTCTTCCATAAAATTCTCATCTAATATTTCTTTCTCAAAATTCAAAAAAAAATCAATTGAACTCTTTAATTTTTGGTATTTCCAAATTCTCACAATCAATTCACCAAATATTTTTCCCGATTTTTCATATCAATAAAAAAAAAATTGTTAACGTTATTTTTTTAAAAATTTAATGAGAGGAAAAAATTTAAGTATAAATAGCATGCTTCTTAATTTTTTTATATTAGGGGCTCATTTTTTATTTTCGCCCCGAGCCTAAAAATAGTTAGGACCGGTCCTGTATGATAGTTAAACCTGGCCTCGACAATATTGTTTTCTTCATGTCTAAAGAAATCCAAAAATAAATTTTATTTTTGAATAGATCTAGAAAAATATATGGATACTCTTAAATGCTTATATATGTTATCTTTAGATAATATACTAAATTACGTTTAGTACTTAAATTATCAGTTTTGGTCCGTTTTAATACCTAAACTTCTAATTTTTTTCAAAACCATACTTAAATTTTAGTACTTTATTCAAAATGTAACGTTAATTTTTTAAAGAAATTGAAAGTTTAGGACTAAAAAGGACCACAACTGATGTTTAGGTACTAAACGCGTTAAGTTTTTAACGATGTGATACTAAAATGAAACAAAAGCTAAACGTTAGGTATGATTTTGAAAAAAATGAAAGTTCAAGTATTAAAACGATCAAAATTGATATTGTAGGTACTAAATACGTAGTTTACCCTAGATAATAAACCCATATATACTATTCAAACTTTTGATTATTTATCTTGAGCACATATTGCAGTTTTATAAGTTTTACAATATTTTTTTAGAAAACATCATTTTATTTTTTTTTATTTTTTTTCTAATTTATTTTTAGTCTTTTTTTCGAGTTATTACATGACATCATCTTAACGCATTATATGATATATATTTTCTATCACATCGTACTATTTTAATGAAGAGATGTAATAGTGAATTAATGCGATAATTTTCATAATTTTAACGAACAAGCTGATAAAATATTGTTCAAAGAAGAAAGTAGGAAAAATAAACAAAATTATATATGCATTTAACCTATAAAATAAATTAATAATTTTTGGATGTTTGAACGATGAATTGTATTGGTCAATGTGTTTAAAAAACAAGTTATTAAACTAATATGTTCTATATTATATTTGAAAATTTACGAAGACAAAGTTTGACTTTTATTTCTTGTATATGTCAAAGAAAAAAGCATAAACAATATATATATTTCTATTTTTATTTGCTAATTTTCATATATTTTTATTTTTTAAAACTCGTTTTACAAAAATATCGCCGTCTATATTTTCTAAAAATAATAATGTTTGCCTACATTTTTAACGGCGGGTAATTAAATGAAACAAAAGGTAAACGTTAGGTATGATTGAAAATATTAAAAGTTTAGATACTAAAATAGAATAAAAGTGATAGTTTAGGTACTAAATGTGTATTTTACCCTAAATATTAATAAGGGAAACCATTGAAAGCCAGATAAACAAGGGATTGCACGTTAGATTCAGAATCCATTGGTTTGAATTAAATTTAATTAATTTAGCTATAATTATTTTGTTTTAAAATTTATTCAAATTTAAAAAAAAATATAAATTTAATAAAAATATTTTTAATATATCAATTAACTACCAATTTGAAAGATCTAGAATGAGATGTTAAGTTCTCAAACAATGTTTATAACTCAGATTTTAATATTATAAATAAAATAAATTGAATTTAAAGAATTATTCTCGTGAGAAATTTCAGTATTACCTAATATAAATTATTCAACAAATGAAGCGGATAAGCAATTTCCAAAGAAAACAATTTGTTAAAAATCAAATTATTTTATTAAAAAAGTAAAAGTCAATTCAAACATGAAAAATCAAATAAATAGGTAGAGATATTCCATATTTTTCTTGCTATTTATAATAATCTTCAAAAACAATTCTATTAATATTATAAGTTTATTTAATATTTTTTAAAAAATAAATCGAATCCAACAAACCAACGAAATCTTCATTTTGATTAAAGGTGTAGTGTGTTTTCCTTGAATGGAATGAAGCTTGGTTTATATCTTGCCATTTTTCCCAGAAATAGTCATGTTTAGTGCAAGCATACAAAAATATTCATAAAAATACATATATATTTCATATATGTATTAATATGCATACAAAATCGACATAGCATGTCGTTGTCACTCGGGGTTCGGCTTCGGCTTCGGCACATTGCGTCTCCAAATTCCGGCCAACAAGCTACCGAATATTGAGTGGCATACGCTGGACACTGCACACGGTACTGCTGTCAATGGATTTTGAAAGTGCTGAGTAGCAAGAACCACTCCGAGAACCGAGTTCTGAAACATCAATGAGTTGAATAAAGGATCAAGCTTCATGATAAAAAGATAAGGCTGTAAATGAGACGAGACAAATCGCGAGCTATTCGAGATCAACTCGATCAAGGCTCGATAAATTCTCGGATCGAATGGACTCAACTCGAGCTCGAGCTCGAGTCGAGTTCTTAACGAGCTGAAACGAACTACTCGATATTCGACTCGAAAAGCTCGTGAGCAGCTCGAAAATATAATATACTAATATTTTATTTAAAAAAATAAATTAATATTAATATTAATATTTATGTATTGATTTTTTTTTAAAAAATACAGTAAGATTTCATGTATTTAAGATTCATGTTCGAGTTTGAGGCTTCAATCGAGTTAAGTTTAAGATTTTTTTTTCATTTCGAGCTTTTTCGAGCTTCTCACGAGCTTCAGTTCAGGATTTCGAGTTCGAGTCGAGCTTGAAAATTTTAAGCTCGCGTGTTTTCAAGTCGAGTCGAGCTCTATTTCAGAGTTTTCGAGTCGAGTCGAACTCAGCAATACTCGAGCTCGACTTGGCTCGTTTACACCCCTATAAAAGGAAATGAATCATGAATGGATTAAGTACTAATTCTTATTTGGTCAGCTGAAAAACCATCCACAACATGCGACCAAGATACTAATTTTCATGTTATAAATGCCTGGATCAACCAAAAAGAAGCTCTGTCGAGATCAAACTGCTTCAAATAGTTTGCATACCTGCATGCCAACCTCAATAGAAATGGTTCGTGATGACGCTACATCGAGCCCGAGTGCCCTTGAAAGGATATAGCCAAAGGTGAATCCAGATGCATGAAGAAGGGCTGCAGCTAACACCACTTGCAGACCGGATGAAAGGATTGCAGAAGAACTCTGAGCAATTGCATTTCCGCACAGAATAGCGACAGTTCCAACCGCAATGGTCGGCATCAAAGGAGAAACAAATTTAACAAGGCCATGGAAATACTGATTTAGGAATGCACCACCCAATACAGGAAGAAGCACAACCTGGGGTAATAGCATGGTTAAGTACAATCCACGAAAAGGAATGAACTATATTTGTGGGGAAAAAAGTTATGCAACAAAAGAATTCACCTGCAGTGTTGAGACTAGCAGTCCAACTGCATCTACTGCAACATATTGCCCAGCGAGCTTGGCCGTGAGAAAGGGGGTCATAATCTGAAGAATAAATAAATGGGAATAAAACGATACTAAGTGACGCAACATCAAGAAAAAGTTTTAATTAGTGTTGCTTATCCCATAATATACTATATGGTTCTTCGAAGAAAGATGATCGATGTCTCCTCAGATCTTAAACAGGTGAATGCAACCTAAATGTTTGTCTTCCTGTTTTTCTTTTCTTTGAGGAAAGGAAGACAGAAAGAATGGGAATCCAAACCAAATTGTCATTACACTAGACACAATGAAATTGTGACCAAATATTTACTCATAATACAGCACTCCCCCATGGAGGATGGTCATCAATCAGAAAATTGCCCCAACAAGTGGGCAGTAAAGTTAAGACAGAGTCGATATGAGGAGGCTCATAGAAACATATTCTTAAAACACCCATTAATAAGAAAGACATGATGAGGCATAAGTTCTGGTTTACTAACCACAGCTGACAGAGTGTTTGCAGCAGTCATCAGCACGGAAAGCGCGACATTTCCTCTGGGAGATAACAAGATCGTCAGATCTTCAGGCAAAGGCAAAGGCATCAAAAAATAAAGAACAATGAATGATATGGTTAGACATATTTGCTTACCGGGCAAGATATGTGACAATGTTACTTGCTGTACCTGCAATGAAAAAAATGAAGCACTATAAAAGAGGAAGCCGAGGATGGACAATTTAAGTAATACTAAGAGTGACTATAAGCTTACCACCAGGACAGCAGCCAACCAATATTAAACCAGCTGCATAGTGAGATGGCAGATTTAAGAGCTTGCTCACAAAGTACCCAGATAAGGGCATAACCTACAACAAGTCACCCAACGTTTACCAGATTACAAGTATTTCCCAGATACAAAAGTAACATGAATTGGTATGATTAGGGGTGCTTATCAAGCGAGTCGATTGTGAGTTGAACAGTGCTCAACTCGTGCTCATTAAAACATTTTGTTGCTCGACTCATTGCTCGTTAAAATTTTGCTCGACTCATTCCTCATTAAAATTTTGCTCGACTCGTGCTCTTTAAAAAAATTTTGCTCAACTCAACTCGTTGCTCGTTATGCTCACTATAAATTTTACCTCTTTTTTTAACTATAGGTTAAACCTACTAATACTGTATAGAGCTTAATATAAAAATAAATTAACAAATTTAACCTAAAAACTATCAAAAGAATGTATGAAGTAATTTTAAAGTCTAAATTCTAATGTAACAATCCACAAATACACCAAACTAACATACTAAAACTAAAATAACAATCCACAAATACATCAAACTAACATATTCAAAACATTCTTGAAAAAAAAAAATCAACTATACATAATCAATCCTAAAAATAAGAAAATCAATATCTCTCCACTCCATTCATTATTGCTTGCAATCACCGAACTAATAAAAAATTATATAAAAAAATTATCGAGCTGCTGACGAACTAATCGAATCGAGTTGAAATTTAGCTACTCAACTCGTTAAGATCCTGAGTTGAACTCAATTTCGAATTTAGTCAACCTGAGTCGAGAGTTGACCAAGTTTTGACCAAGTCGAGTTCGAGCTGTTCACATTATTAACTTATTAAGCACCCCTAGCTATGATACCCTGGTTTGCGCAGAGATAACTCATTAAGCACCCCTGATACCCTGGTTTGCACAGAGTTATTTCAAGAGTGGGATTTATATGCCTGAATCAGATTTGTTAAGGCTATTTGGAAAAAGAATGCAACGGACAAAAAGTCAATGGTTATACCTATGGCATTCAGAGATGTCATTGCTTTAAACCCAGAAACTGTTGCTTAAAATAAATATCACCTCAGTTCAATACATAACATCAATTTCTTGAAGAAATGAGTACAAACCGAATATTGGAGCACAAATCCAGATATAAGCTCTTTAGGCATAGCAAGGGCACCTCGAAGGTCATCTAGAGTAAGAGTCATACCCATACCAAGCATAGTAAGAGTAAGACCAAAAATGCTCCACTTGGGCGTAACCCAGCTGAAAGAACTTGGCTTGAACAGCCCAAGCAGACACCCTAAAGAAACCCATAGCGGAAATGCTGTGGAAATCACTTCACCAACCCACTCAACCCATTCTCTGAGACTTCTCTTGGTGCCAGCACCGTTACTTTCTGATGAAACTACGCAATGAATTCGAAAACGATTGGAAGCCGGCAAGTTGGTGATTCTATCGGGTAATTTCTGGGATAGGGATCTTAGTGATAAGTTGGAAGATGATGAAATGGAAGGTTTAGGAAATGAAACGATGACATTCGGGTACGATAGAGATGGGTTTTGTGGTTTATGATGAATTTTGAAGTTTGTTTTTGCAGGAGAGCATGAGAGTGAGGATTGCATCTCTGATTCCTCTCTGCCGCTGTTTGTTACTTTCTTTTCTTTTCTATTTTTGGTGCCTTTCAAATGGCTTATTAGTAACGTTAGAGTAAATTCCTTATTTGATTACTCAATTATTATTGGTTTTTAGTTATCTAATTAGTTTTATAAATTTATCATTAATATATTTTTATTTAATTATTGAATTTAAATAAAATTCTAAATATAAGTCATTAGTTGACAAACAATAAATATATGTCGTTAACATAGTATTTCTACTTGTTAATTACTGATATACTACATCATCAAAAGTAATAACATGACATATATCACATTATAAAAAATGATGACATAACATATATCATATAATTAATTAAGCAGATGAAAAAACGATACATCAATAATATATATTGAATGTCAATCAACTAATTTTTATCGAACATAAATATTTTTGATGAAAAAACTAAAACATTAAGGATTGAAATGGTAAACAGAATAATAAGAAACAAAATGATCATAAACGCAATATCTATTCTAAATACTCTCAACCATCTGACAATAAATGTTTAATCATCAATGCTACAATTATTGGTGCTCGAACCTAAAAATCTCTTAAAATAACAATCATTTCTTCAACCACCAAAGTATAAGTACTTATATAAATTAAACCAAGAGTATGAAAATAAAACATGAAACAAAGGAGGCAGTCATTGACATCCAATGCATATCAAATTGTTTCCATATCCTCGTATGTAAGCCCATCATTTGCCATATAACCAGAATGTGCATAGGGGAGCACAGCAAAAGGGTCAAAAGATCCATTTTCACTGCATCAACTTCAGCTAGAATTCTTGGAACTTAAATGCTATTGGAAGCTGAAACCGTTGTCAAAGACTTCTGTTTTGGTACATCGCGTCTCCAAATTCCGGCCAATACACTACCGATAATTGTCTGGCATATGCCGGACACTGCAAATGTTACTGGACTCGAGGGATCTTGTAAGTACTGAGTAGCAATAACAACTCCGAGAACCACGTTCTGAAAGTTTGTTTTGAATAAAAGGATTAAGCTTCATGGAAAAAAAAGAAGAAAGAATAGAAGAACAATTATCACTCCGGTTCGACAAATATCACTCCGTTTTCAACAAAAAACCTTCCGCAACACGCCAACACACCATTAATTTTTCATGTTAAAAAACTATGATCAATGTTTCCAATTTCCCAACAATATCGACAGTGCTACAAGAATCCCTGGATGAACCAAAGAGAAGCTCTGTTCTTTGAGAACGAACTGCTTGAAATGGTTTACGTACCTTCATGCCAACCTCAATAGAGATGGTTCGCGATGATGCCACATCAAGCCCAAGCATCCTTGAAAGTATATAACCAAAGAAAAATCCAGATGCATGAAAAAGGGCTGAAACTGGGACTTGTACACCGTATATAAGAATAACAAAAGCACTGTCGGAGAAAATAAGTGCACGAAAAAAAGCTTTAGCTACCAAAAGATGCCTATAAGACGATATAATTACATTTCCACACTGAATACCGAGGGTTCCAGCCGCAATGGTTGGTGTCAAAGGAGAAACAAATTTAACCAGGCCATTGAAATACTGTTTTAGGAATGCACCACCCAATACAGGAAGAAGCACAACCTGGGGTAATAGCATGGTTAAGTACAATCCACGAAAAGGAATGAACTATATTTCTGGGGGAAAAAAGCTATGCAACAAAAGAATTCACCTGCAGTGTTGAGACTAGCAGTCCAACTGCATCTACTGCAACATATTTCCCAGCGTGCTTGGCAGTGAGAAAGGGGGTCATAATCTGCAGAAGAAATAAATGGGAATAAAACGATACTAAGTGATGCAATGTTAAGAAATATCCTACCCTCCGGAAGTATTCATCGTAGTGAATGCAAGTTACTACTCTACTCAATCGGAGTTCAATGTTGCTTATCACATAATATCCCACATGGTTCTTCGAATAAAGGTAGTAAATGTTTCCCAAGTTCTTAAACAGGCAAATGTAAAAATATAACTCAATTTAACAGTATCTGACATTCTGTTTGTTAAGTATATAAAAATCTGTTTCCCACATGAAAACATTATGCCATCAAACACTTATAATTCAGCACTCCCACAGGTAGGATGGTCATCAGTCGCATATATAATTGCCCCGATAAATGGAAACTACAATCAAGCCAGAGTCAGTGGGAGGAGGCTTGTCGAAAAATATTCTTAAAACACCCAATAATAAAAAAGAGAGGATGAGGAAAGTCGTAGTTTACTAACCACGGCTGAAAGAGTGCTTGCAGCAGTCATCAGCACGGAAAGTGCCACATTTCCCCTGGAAGATAGCATGATCATCAGATCTTCTGGAAAAGGAATCAAGAATTAAAGAACAATGCATGACACCTATAAAAATATTCGCATACCGGGCAAGATATGTGACGATGTTACTTGCTGCAGCTGAAATGAAAGATTGAAGCACAATCAAGATGACAACAAGGATGGAGAAGTAGCATATACAATACACATGCAAAGGGTAAGCATACCACCAGGACAGCAACCAAACAATATTAAACTAGCTGCAGCGTCACACGGCAGATTTAAAAACTTGCTCACAAGAAACGCAGATAAGGGCATCACCTGCAACGAGGCACCCGTTGTTTAACAGTTTAGCTAAGATACTCTGGCTTGAAAATACCCAAAGTTATGGCCAGGGTTGGATTTAAATGCCTGAATCGGATTTGGTAAGGTTATTGGCAATTAGTCAAGTATGTGTAACTCAGCCAAGAAAAATTAATAGACTTTTCTTAAGATAGCAGCCCCCATAATCAATATGCTGATCAATTTCCTTGATGTAAAAAATGCAATATACTAAATTCCATGGATAGACCTTTGACACTTCGAGATGACGGTACTATAAAACCCACAATTTGTTACTCAGATATATCAGCTCAGCTCAGCTCAACATAAACAATAATAAGAAAACGAACACAAACCGTATATTGGAGCACAAAACCTGTGATCAACTCTTTAGTCATGGCAAGGGCACCACGAAAATCATCTAGAGTAAGAGTCGTACCCATACCAAACATAGTAAGAGTAAGACCAAAAGTGCTCCACTCGGGCGTAATCCAACTGAAAGAACTTGGCTTGAAGAACAACAGTAGACATGCTAAATAAAACCATAGTGGAAATGCACTGGAAATCCCTTCACCAACCCACTCAACCCATTCTCCGAAACTTTTCTTGGAGTTTGCACTGTAATTGTCTGATGAAGCGCCACAATGAATTCGAGAACGATTGGAAGTCAACAAACGGATGGTTCTACTGGGTTGCTCCTGGAATTGGGATCTTAGTGTTAAGCTGAAAGATGATAATCTGGATGGCTTACAAAATGAAAGGGAGAGATTTGGGCATGGTGGAGAAAGGGTTTTTGTTTGGCATTGAAATCTAAAGTTTGTAATTGCACGAGGGCATGAAACCGAAGATGGCATATCTGATCTGATTTCTCTCCACTCTTAATTTCGTTTTTGAATTATATTCAAATTTGTAAACGAACTCTCCCAATTCAGAATTAATTGGGAGTACATATAATTACATTAACTAATGCAATAGTATAACACACACAATGATTCCAATATTTAAAAATATAAAATATACTGTATTAAACAATGACTTCCAGTCTTCCACTTAACAAGAAATATTAATATAAAACATTAATGGCTTTTATTTCCCCCCAGATCTAAGCCCTTCATTACCCATAAAACCAGAATGTGAACGGGTTTGCCTGTAGAACAATAATAGGGTCAAAAGGTCCATTTTTTACTGCACCAAACCGACTTCAGCTAGAAATCACTGAAAATTAAAGGCTTAATTCAAAATGAGTACATAAAATATAGTTTAGATATCAAAAACATACTTTAGATACTGAAATGAAAAATTGATATACTATTGATACTTAATTTTTTTAAGTTAGCCGAAATTAGATGCTATTGGAAGCTGAGTCCTTTGGCATATCTTCAGTGGAGAAACCCACCTTACTCATTTGGGTGTTTAAACGGATAATTCGACCATCCACGATTGAACTATTATTAATCGAAATTAATTGATTTTTTTTAAATAGTTAACCAAATCAATTTTTTTGACAAATATTAACCGAACCGAATAATTTCGGTTATTTTGATTTTAACCGATTTTTTTATAACTTTTTTCAGTAAACTATATTATCTACCACCTAATTATTTAGCCCTTTTATTTTTACCATCGATCTTTCAATTTTGTCAATCAAATCACCTAACTAACCACATAACTATTTAATTGTTGTGAATCAAACCACATGTTAAGTCATCACCACTTCCGTCAATTTTTAAAGGCAGGTGGTTTGATTGATAATAATTAAATAGTTAGGTGGTCTGATTGATAAAATTAAAATATCAATGGTAAAAGTAAAATGGCTAAATAGTTAGGTGGCCAATGCTATAGTTTACCTTAATTTTTTAATTAGATTAATTTGAATATAAAAAAAGTATTTTTTTTATTTGGGTTAAAATTTAGTATTTTTTATTTGGGTTAAAATTTAATTAGGTAATTTAACGAGTCTAGTGACGTTAAAAAATTTGCATCTTAATTCTTAATAAGTTTTGAGTTTAAAATATGTATTTAATATATATAATAGATTTAATATTTAATAATTTTGGTTAATTCGGTTAATTAATCGATTTCGAACCAAATTAACCGTTAACCTAATATTGAAAAAAATATTAACCGTTATCCGTATGAACTGATTCAGTGACCAACCGAATTAACCGAACTAATTCGATTCAGTCGGTTAATTTGGTTAAAACCAAAAAATGAACACCCCTCCTCGTTGAGATTCAAGTTTATTAATAGGAGTCCATGTTGGTACTAGTTTTACTCATTTGCACCAATATCAAATTTTATTAATGCATACGTACTTTGTGGATGTAACTATTTAAATATAGAATTCCAGAAATAAATTTATAAAATTACTCTATTTTATTATTGAAATTGCTTGCCATGCTTGGAAGCGCTATACTTGGGGATCATAGCGTGTTCATTCTTGGGACAAAGATATTCGGTGTTGGATATCTGAGAAATTAGATATGTCCAAAAATAACCAATAAATTATTACTTTTGTCGCTTGCATTCTTTGGAAGCTTTGGACTGAAAGGTACAGGAGAATCTTTGAGAAAGATGACTACTCTTATGATGAGGAAGCTCTTTGGCGTTGCATTACTCTTGCATCAATGGAGCTCATTCAAGCTTTCAAAAAACCTGCATGCAGCACGCGTTGTGATAAGTTGGTGAAGTGGCATCCTCCTTTGCATGGAAGAGTAAATCTCAACACAGATGGTCCTAACCAAGGTAATCCGGGGATTACTAGAGCAGGTGGTTTACTTCGAAGAGAAATCGGGGAGTGGATCGTGGGTTTTGCAGAATCATTGGCGGATGCATGTACATTACTGAAGATGTTCGCCCTAAAATTTTATTGTGCCTATCCTGGAATTCAAATTTCTTTATATTAGTTATTCATTTTATTGAATGTCCCATAAATTTTATTTGTGTATGCTCCATACATAATTTTTATTATTATTAATACATATGTGTCCTCCCTGGAAAAATATTTTTAGATCTGACACTATGTAAAACATTTAAGGACTTGATCTAGTGTGGCAGCAGAGTTCTTCGCAGTACGAACGAGCCTGATGGTTGCTTGGAATTACGGATTTAACAATGTTGATCGTGAAGTTGATGCTAAAACCACTCTCCAACGGGTGATACTTTGATTCACCCCTGGGAACAGTGATAGAGGATATTCAGAGTCTTTTAGCTCGTAACTGGTATGTGACGCTTCATCACATGTATCGAGTGGACTCTAAGAAAAGGAATACGAGTGAATTTAGAATTCATGACTTAAGAAAATACGAGAGAAAAACTTAATTAACTTACTAAATATTTTAGTGTTTATTAATTGTATAAATAATATAAAATAATATATTTTTATACTATATAAGCTAAATATATAATTATTTTTTATAATTTATTTTAAATTTTAGGATAAAATATACAAATGGTTCCCTGACTATAAGATATTATTTGATTAAGTACATCGGTTATTAAAAGTAATAAAGTTGACTATAGAATGCTATTTTGTTGAGTCTTTTAACTATTAAAATTTACAAAATTGTCACCTAACTATTCATTATGTTCGAAACTTATCTTTTTTTTGTTAAAAAATTGACCATCGTCTGAACTATCATGAACGGGAAATTATAACCATTTGAGATACTGATATAAGTTTTTATCATATTATAATCAATAAGTTAACATTCAATTTAAGTAGTCGTCAAATTTTTAAATAAAAAAGGATGAATTTAGAACATAAAAATAGTCGGATGACTACTTTATAATTTTTAACAGTAAAGAGACTTAACAAAATAATATTATACAATTAAAGAATTATTTTATAAATTTTAATAATCGAAAACTCAACAACATATTAAATGGATGGACATTTGTATACTCCACCTAAATTTTAATAACTCCACCCACATTATCGGTGGGTATTGTTTAGTAACAGTATTTGTAGATCCCACAATTCCAATCATCCATCAAAGCTTTGAAACAAATAGAAAATCAAAGCTTCATCAACCATTGAATACACTATATTTGTCTGTTTCATTTTCCCTCTCAGGTTTTTTCTTTATATTGATTTCTATACTTCCTATAAGTTAAAAGGTTTCGCATTCTTCAGTGTCATTTGTTGGAAAAACATGTTTTTTTAATTAATTTATGCCATTTTATGATCTGGGTATTTCTTAATTTTGTTTGTATCTCTGTTAAAAATGAAAAAAGTTCCATGACGGTTGCTGCCTTAGTTCTTAGTTTGGCTACATTTGTTTGCTCATTAATTGGATCTGTTTCTATGGTTATTTTCCAACAGATGGGATTTAAGATAGGGTATTGGGGTAGTATTTGTTGATGAACTCCTGGATCATTTCTATGTTCGTTGAACATTGATTCGAGTGAGTCAATTGAATCATAGATGGAGATGTAAGTATTGGTATCGAATTTTTGGTCGACATCGATTTCGAGTTATCCCTCGAAAGCCCTTTACAATTTGAGGGATGTAAAGGACAGCTTTATTGTTTAAACACTCTTAAATCCGCAATCTCCAGGATTTTGATTGCAACAAGTGTGTGTATGATTACTTTTTCGTGTATTATTTTATGCAGGTTGGTGCATTTTGCCATAGTTTCTGAAATTTGGTTACATATTTCTTGTTTTCTTTTGTAGAATTGGCTTTGGTATGGCTACTTACAAGCCTAGGAACATCCTGATTACCGGGGCTGCTGGGTTTATTGGATGTCATGTTGCGAATCGACTCGTTCGGAACTACCCGGATTACAAGATTGTCGTTCTGGATAAGCTCGATTATTGCTCGAACTTGAAAAACCTCAACCCATCCAAGTCATCTCCAAACTTTAAGTTTGTGGCAGGGGACATCGGCAGTGCTGATCTTGTTAATTACCTCCTCTTCACGGAGTCTATTGACACGATAATGCACTTTGCGGCCCAAACTCATGTCGATATCTCGTTTGGGAACAGCTTTGAGTTCACCAAGAACAATATCTATGGTACTCATGTCTTGCTTGAAGCTTGCAAAGTCACTGGCCAGATCAGGAGGTTCATTCATGTGAGCACTGATGAGGTTTACGGGGAAACAGAGGAGGATGCTGTTGTGGGAAACCATGAGGCTTCCCAACTTCTCCCCTCAAACCCGTACTCCGCGACGAAAGCAGGTGCTGAAATGCTGGTTATGGCATACGGTAGATCATATGGATTGCCTGTGATTACGACTCGGGGAAACAACGTTTATGGCCCGAACCAGTTCCCCGAGAAACTAATTCCGAAGTTTATCCTATTAGCAATGAGGGGGAAGGCTCTTCCGATTCACGGGGACGGTTCGCATGTGAGGAGTTATTTATACTGCGAGGATGTAGCCGAGGCATTTGAAGTCATCCTCCATAAGGGCGAAGTTGGCCATGTTTATAACATTGGGACAAAGAAGGAAAGGAGAGTGATCGATGTAGCCAAAGATGTATGCAAGCTTGTCTCGATGGATCCGGAGACAAGCATCGAGTTCGTCGAGAACCGACCATTCAATGACCAGAGGTATTTTCTCGATGATCAGAAACTGAAAAACTTGGGATGGTCCGAACAAATTTTATGGGAAGATGGGTTGAAGAAGACCATGGATTGGTACACCAAACATCCCGATTGGTGGGGCGATGTGTCCGGCGCATTGCTCCCTCACCCGAGAATGTTGATGATGCCCGGCGGACGAAACGCCGATTCTGAAGAACCAAATGGTACAACAACCCCTGTAAAGGGTCCTAAGTTGCCTAATAGCAGTTCCAACCTCTAAATGCAATGACTCTCCCCTAACTATTCACACTTTCAATTAAAAAGAATGGCGTTACCGTACATGCCAATTAATTAAATCTAAGGAAATTAAATTCGTTTAACAGTTCCTCAAATAATCAAAACAAAAACAAATTGGTTTAACATTTTAACTACGTTACTCAACTGAATTAAAAAAAAACTTATATTATTTAAGAAACATTTTTTTTAATATAATTAGAAAATTTTATTTAATTAATTAAAATCGATAAAACTTAAAATTGCTTTTCAAGTTTGGAATGTGACAGATTGAGTTTGTACACTTCTTTATTATTTGTATATTTAATTAATTCTGTAGGGCCACAATCATTCAGTGTTTGCAATTTCGTTCTACATGAAATTCCAACGGAGTTTCTGGATTTACATCTTAATCCTCCAATGTAAATTATTTGTTTATAAAAAATATTATAAAATTAAGTTCTAGTTAAACAGTGCTAGGTCTTAAAGTAAATTTTTGGTTTAATTACGCCTCCAGTCCCTATATTCTTCAAACTTTTGATACTTAATCCCTCTATTTTTAAGGTTAGGAATTTAGTCACTGCTTGATTTAAAAATTAAAGCCAATTTGATAACATGCTAGAATCAATTTTGTTAAGAAAGGGTGAACAACGCATTTAATACATAAATTATTAAATTTGACCCGTTTTAGTACCTAAACTTTCAGTTTTTTAAACCATACTTATAGTTTAGTTTTGTTTCATTTTAGTACCCTATCAGTATAAACTTAACGCGTTTAATACCTAAATTATAAGTTCTTTTCGTTTAAGTACCTAAACTTTCATTTTTTAAAAAAAAAAACTTAACGTTAAATTTTGAATATGGTACTAAAATGAAACAAAAAATAAAGTTTTAAACGGCGAGTACTAAAATGAAAACTTTTTAAAAAAAATGAAAATTTAAATATTAAAACGGATTAAAACTTATAGTTTATGTACTAAACGAATAATTTATCCAAAGAAACAATGCTGACCTTGTCAACTACCTCCTCATCTCCGAGTCTATTGACACAATCATGCACTTTGCAGCAAAAACTCATGTTGATGACTCATTTGGGAACAGCTTTGAGCTTACCAAGAACAATATCTACGGAAATCATGTCTTGCTTGAAGCTTGCAAAGTCACTGGCCAAATCAGGAGGTTCATCCATGTCAGCACAGATGAGGTTTATGGGGAGACAGAAGAGGATGCTGTTGTTGGAAACCATGAGGCTTCCCAACTTCTGCCAACAAATCCATACTCTTCAACAAAAGCTGGTGCTGAAATGCTTGTAATGGCATTTGGTAGGTCGTATGGATTACCTGTGATTACAACCCGTGGAAACAATGTTTACGGTCCCAACCAGTTCCCTGAAAAATTAATCCCAAAGTTTATTCTCTTAGCAATGAGAGGGAAGACTCTTCCAAATCATGGGGATGGGTCTAACGTCAGGATGTGGCTGAGGCATTTGAAGTCATTCTTCACAAGGGTGAAGTTGGCCATGTTTATAATATTGGAACAAAGGGGAGAGTGATTGATGTGGCCAAAGATATATGTAAACTATTTTCTATGGATCCGAAGACTAGCATCCAGTTTGTCGAAAACAGACCATTCAATGACCAGAGGTATTTTCTTGATGATCAGAAACTGAAGAACTTGGGATGGTCTGTGTAACATCCTCAATACCGGGTTAGTGATCAAATTGTAAAGTTTCAGAATTTGATGACTAAAGTAGAAGAATGAAATAATTCAATGATTATTTGAATATATATTGAAGGTTATTTAGTAATTATTAAAGGAAATTAAGGGTATTATGGTCTTTTCCTTTAAAAGATATTCTTCCCCCCTTTTATTAGAGTGAAAAACGTGGGAAGAGAGCTATCTGGAAGCTTTCTTCTTCTTGCTTTCTCTTCTTCACGTGGGGCTTAGCTACAATAGGTAAGTTTAATTTCAGTTGGTTAATTCTTGAGTTTTAAGCTTAGTTTTGATTCTTTGGGTATTAAATAAGCTTAAGGAAAGCTTATATGGGATTTAAACAATAAGATAAAGGAATTAAGAAGGAATTTGTAATATGAATTTTAAGATGAAATTTTGATATGGTATGGTTGTTGAAGTTTTATGGATGAATTTGACTTGTCATCAATCTAATTAAGAAGTATGAAGTGTTAGAATTGGAATTAGAACACATTGAAAATTTGGTATGATTTTTGAATCTCATATGGAAGATAGGATTTTGAGGTTTAAGATGGAATAAATGAATATAGATTGGTTTAAGTATGTGTACTAGAGTTAAGAATGAAAAGGGGATGATATATGAAGTGTTTGAGAGGAAATGAAGTAATTTTCGAGTTAAAAATATGATTTCTGGGCAAGGGGAATCGGTACCCATTCAAGGGGAACCGATACCCCTTCAAACGAACAAAAATTTCCAGAATGTCATGAGGGAATCGATACCCCCTTAGTAGGGAACCGATTCCCCCTAAAGGAAATTGTGAATATGGGTTTAATAAGTTCGTTTAAGTTGCTAGTATCTAATTACAAGGTGTAGGTATCTAATGATTGCCTCAAAATGTACATTTATGTAGATTCTGCGCGTAAAGCAATTCTGGAACATTTGGCAAGTAAGATCGATTAAGGGAAAGATAAGAGATTGAAATTGACTAGTGAGGCCAGGTGAGTGCATACTAGTGATATGTAGTGTTTAATGGAAATAAGACTTGCGATGAGTCTATTTCCTAGAGTAATATGCATGAAGTCATGGACATGATTATGTGTGGTTATAATTATATGTGATTATCTATATTACATTGATTGTATGTATGCATGACTAAAGATAATGATATGCTTTGTATATGCTATATGATGTATGTAAGACTTTAATATGTAATAATGGAAGAACATGAGATAAGTTATATGATAGAGTCATAAGAAATGAAATGAACATGAGAGAATAAGATAATCAAATATAAGTTATATGATATGGTATAAGTGATTATACGAGAAATGTTAGGAGACTCTAAGAGAATAGTATGAATTCGAAGGCATAAATAAGGATACATAAGTAATATAGGGAAGATTGATAAATTAAAGGAAACTATGGTTTATGTATTATAGTGAAGAGCTACAAAGTTGTATTAAAGAGTATTGTGGAAGTCATGAGAAATTGAACTAAATAAATAGATGGTTTATGTGAATAAAAAGGGAAAATGATATAAAATAAGTTATGAAATTATAGGAATATAGAAGATAAGTCGAGAGATGTAGGGAAATAGAAATATATGTTTATTAAGGGTCATAGGAGAACAAGTATATGTAATATGATAATGAAATATAAGACTATGTGGATACATGGTTATGAGATAAAATATGTTATAATAGGAAAATATGATGAAAGTGAGTTATAAGAAGTGATATGAACTAGGTAAACATGGGTAACAGTATATGCATAATGGAAACATGAGTTGGACAAGTACCTAGTGGTATGATTTATTATGAGAATTAGTATAATGGAGCTATATGAAAAGATTATAATGAATATATGAAATTGAATTAAGTAAAGAGATTAAATTAATACCTAAATAAAAATACTATTAAATGATATATGTTTAGAAATACAACATAATTTATAATCTATGGGAATACAAAGAAATAGAGCATAAGGTAGATAATATGATATCCGTTATTGTATATCTATATGATATATGTCATCAGGTAATATGAAAGAACTCTGAAAATTGATATAAGCTAGGAGAAAGTGTTCTATGTGTTATATGAAACATATATGATCATATGTGAACTAGATATGATATGTATGTTTATATGAATATCTGAGAAATGATCTAAGCTATATAATATGATATGTGTGATTATGTGCACTTTGTGATATATGTTATATGATATAGATCTATGTAACTACGTGAGAAAGTATATAAGCTATGTGACATGTAAATGTGACTCATATGAAAATGTTTTATGAGTAATTGAACTATGTGTTATGTGAAATGATAAGTATAAAAGAAAATGCCCATGTTATGTGTCTTGAGAGCTAGGGGTATAGTTGGCATGCCAAGAGTAGAGGGTCTACGCGGTCCTTCGGGACAATATTCTACTCGGTCCTTCGGGATATATATATATTCTTTGGAACATGTGTGAAGTCTGGTGAGACACATATATGATCCCTAGCATATGTATATGATTCTTAAGGAATTCTATGTGGTCCTTATGGACATCATTATATGGCACTACGGTGCAATTCTACGCGGCACTTTGGTGCATTTATACGAGCTGTGGTGACAGCATAGTGCACAACCTCACAATACTCAGATACCTTAGGTTCTCAATATGATATCATGGGCCAATAAACTCATTAATACAAATTCATGAATGTAAAGTAATATGCTTACAGGTATGGATATTGGTGATATGAGAACAATGTATGTGATATATGTATATGATTTGTGATATGATGTGTGCATGATATGATATATATGTGATAGGGGTAATGGTATCTGTTACATAATATGCACGAATATATGTTGATGTATATGTAAATGAGTTGTATAATTTGATAGCATAAAACAGTCATGCATGATTAGTGGGTATGAATTCCATTAGATGTGTTTTCTTTATGCCTCACTAAGTCTTCGACTTAGCGTGTGATTGTTTCACACGTAGGTTTCGAGAAGAGTAAAGAGTAATGCGGAGCAGGACAGGTCAGTTCTCCTTACCAAATGTCAGATCAGAAAATATATGTACTGTATATAGAGTGTAGTTGGCATGTAGTCTAAAGATATAAATTGTATGAACTCTGATATATATTTTGTAAACGTTTTGAATAAGTTAAATGTTATCAAAGTTTTTAAATTACTCACTATTTATACGAATAAATGTTTGAAAAGTCAATGTGACACTTCGGACTCGTATCCGGATCGGATACGGGTTGGGGGTGTTACAGTCTGAGCGAACAGTATGGGAAGAGGGGTTGAAGAAGACCATAGAATGGTACACTCCGAATCCTGATTGGTGGGGTTGCTAGAAAAAAACGAGTAACAAGTAATTTTCCTATAGCCAGATTAGTGAGAATACAAAATAAAAGCGGAAAAATAATACCCAAAAAATTGATAACGGAGTTCAGCCAATTGTGCTTACGTCTCCGGACTGCTGCAGATCTTTTACTAAAGAAAAAAATTACAGGTGTTTACAAAACACACTTGAGAGAGAACTGGAAGATTTTGGGATGATTTTAAAGCTAAATGGGCTAGGGTATTTATAGTTAAAGCTTAAGGACTAATCTTGAAAATATCCTAAAGTGTGTAGTGGCTAAATGTGTAATTAACCCTATTATAATTTAATTAAAAAATTAGGGCACCGAATTCGGTGCCCCCTTTGTTGATTTTTAATCATCCTCAGCCGCACTCTTTGACTTCCAACAATCTCCCACTTGAAGACTGATTTTAATCTGTCTTCATACCTCGATCAATGTAACAGTATTTCTGGTCTTGTTACTCTAGCATGCCAACTAAAGTTGAACACAACTTCAGTTTGTCCATGGTCACCGTCTTTGTCAACATGTCTGCCGGATTTTGAGCTCCACTAATCTTTTCAAGTTTCAAAATCCCATCTTCCAGAAGAGACCGGATAAAATGATATCGCAATTGTATGTGCTTCATCCTGGAATGAAAAGACGGATTATTCGCTTGATGGATATCACTTTGACTATCGCAATACAAGACATTGTTTTCTTGTTTCTTGCCTAACTCTTCCAAAAAACTTTAGAGCCAAACCATCTCCTTGCTGGCTTCCGTAACAGCGACATATTCTACTTCAGTGGTGGAGAGAGCAACTATCTTCTGTAGTTGAGAAACCCAACTCACTGCAGTACCTCCTAGAGTATAGACATACCCTGTAGTGCTCCTTCTGATGTCAACATTTCCGGCTAAGTCAGCATCTACATAGCCTGTCAGTATCGTATCTCCACCTTTGAAACAAAGTGCTTTGTTTGTAGTACCCCGCAAATATCTGAGGATCCATTTGACAGCTTCCCAGTGTACTTTGCCCAGATTATTCAAGTACCTGCTAATAGCTCCCACTGCATGAGAAATATCTGATCTGGTACAAACCATGACATACATCAGACTTCCAATTGCTGAAGCATACGGCACCTTCACCATGTGTGCACGTTCTTCCTCCGTCTTTGGTGACTGTTCTTTGGAGAGTCTAAAATGAACACCTAAAGGTGTACTTACTGGTTTAGCATCTTGCATGTTGAACCTAGAGAGTACTTTGTTGATGTGCTCAGCCTGTGATAACATCAAAGTCCCCGACTTTGTGTCTCTCTTGATCCTCATCCCAAGAATCTGCTTTGCTGCACCCAGATCTTTCATTGCAAACTGCTTCGACAATTTTTGCTTCAAGTTTATAATCTCTTGCATGTCTGAGCCTGCAACGAGCATATCATCAACGTAGAATAATAAAATAATGAAGCTATTGTCGAACCTCTTGATGTAACAACAATGATCTGCTTGGCATCTGGTAAAACCACTGCTACTCATGAAGCTATCGAACTTCTTGTACCATTGTCTAGGTGCTTGTTTTAAACCATACAAGCTCTTCTTCAACCTGCATACTAGGTTTTTCTTGCCTGCCTCTATGAAGCCTTATGGCTGCCTCATATAGATTTCTTCCTCCAAATCACCATGAAGGAAAGCTGTCTTTACATCTAACTGCTCAAGATGTAAATTCTCTGCAGCTACAATTTTCAACACCAGTCTGATAGTAGACAGTTTCACGACTGGAGAGAAAATTTCATTGTAGTCAATACCTTCTTTTTGCTGAAAACCTTTGACAACCAATCTCACTTTGTAACGTTTGCTCCCATCGTGCTCTTCTTTGATCCTGTAAATCCACTTGTTGTGAAGCGCTTTCTTGCCTGGTGATAATTCAGCTAATTCCCACGTCTGATTTGACATAAGCGAGTCCATATCATCTTTCATGGAAGACTCCCACTTGACTGAATCCTCCATTTGCATTGCTTCATCATAGCACTCTGGTTTACCATTGTCAGTCAGCAATAAGTAGTGCAAATAAGGAGAATACCGTTGGGTTGGTTTAGGAATTCTGGAGGAGCGTCTTAGTTCCGATGTGCCTGGTTCTTCTTGAACTGCTTCAGGACTGATCTGAACATCATTTCCAGAAATCTCCTCGAACTCAGCAAATTCCTTTGTTTCAGCTTTGGTATTGGAGCTGCTTGATTCTACAGTTGACCTGCCTTTGTACATCACATTCTCATTGAAAATGACATCTCTGCTTCTGATGATCTTCCGATTTTCATAGTCTCAAAACCGGTAACCGAACTCATCACCGCCGTAACCAACAAAGGCACATTTGTTGGACTTAGCATCAAGTTTACTTATTTCAGCAGAGTCTATGTGTACATAAGAAATACAACCAAACACTCTTAAGTGTGAAAGGTTTATTTCTTTCTTGCTCCAAACTTCCTCTGGTATTCTGTCATCCAAAGGAACTGAGGGCCCACGGTTGATCAGGTAAGCTGCAGTGTTGATAGCTTCAGCCCATAGAAATTTGGGCAATCCGGCATGTATCCTTATGCTTCTGGCACGTTCATTCAGAGTTCTGTTCATGCGCTCTGCTACGCCATTCTGCTACGGTGTCATGGGAACTGTTGTCTCCATCTTGATCCCATTGTTTGCGCAAAAGTCTCTGAATCTCCTATTTCTGTACTCTCCTCCATTGTCAGACTTCAACCGCTTGACTTTCAGACCAGTCTCATTTTCCACCATGGTCTTCCATTTTCTGAAGGTATCAAAGACTTATGATTTCTTCTTCAGAAAATAAACCCACACCTTCCTTGTAGAATCATCGATGAAGGTGAGATAATATAGTGAGCCTGCAAGAGATGGAACTGGAGATGGTCCCCATACATCAGTATGAACCAACTCTAACTTTTCAGCCTTGGGTGTCTTACCAATCTTTGCAAAGCTGACTTTCTTTTGTTTGCCAAAGATGCAATCCTCGCATAGTCTGACATCTACATTCTTTATATTCGGCAGCTTCCCTTTTGACAAAAGCGTCTTCATCCCTTTCTCGCTCATATGGCCAAGCCTTTGGTGCCATAGATTTGATTTTCCATCAGCATCTGCGGCTATAATGATATTCTCTAAATTTGAGGTTACATAGAGAGTACCAGTTTTCTTACTACGAGCAATGACGAGTGCTCCTTTGGTAATCTTCCATTCACAACCTGAAAAGGTTGTGCTAAATCCTTCACCATCAAGCTGTCCTACAGAAATCAAATTTCTTTTGAGGCCAGGAATATGTCTCACTCCTTTCAGCGTTCAGGTGGTCTGGTTTGGCAACTTTAATCGGATGTCTCCTTTTCCGACGATCTTCAAGGTTTCATCATCGGCTAGATGAACCTTCCCAAAATCACCACTGACATAATTCTCCATGATTTCTCGGCATGGGGTGGAGTGGAAAGATGCCCCTGAATCCAAAATCCAGGATTCAATCAGACTGTTGACGCTTAGAATCATGTCATCACCTGTCTCCTCTGTCATGTTTGTAGATTCCTGTGCGCCGGTATCTTTCTTCAGTGCTCGACAATCCCTTTTAAAGTGACCCTTCTTGCCACAATTATAACATGTAAAATCTTTCTTTCCCGTTCTTGATTTTCCCCGTCTGGATTTCGATATGCCACGATTTGAATTTCTTTCTGAAGTTCTCCCTCTGGACTCCGTGTGCAAGGCTGAGGAGGTTGATGCTTTACTCGATTCTCTCCGTCGAATTTCTTCGCTCAGTACCAGATCCCGAACATCGTCGAATTTCAATTTACTATTTCCCAACGAGCTGCTATCTGCTGTAACAGTAGCATTCCAACTGTCTGGTAAATATGATAAGAGAATTAAAGCTTGAACTTCATCATCGAATTCAATTTCCACGGAACTCAACTGGGTTGTGATTGTGTTGAGTTCATTCAGGTGTTGAGCCACTGATGCCCCTTCCGTCATCCGCAAATTGAATAATCGCCTCATCAAATGAACTTTGTTTAAGGCCGATGGCTTCTCATACATACTGGAGAGAGCCGCCATAATACCCGCTGTGGTCTTTTCCTTTGCTATGTTGAAAGCAACATTTCGGAACAACGTCAGTCGGATAACTCCGAGGGCTTGTCGGTCGAGAAGAGCCCAGTCTTCATTCTTCATGCCCTCTGGTTGCTTTCTTGAGAGGGTTGATATAGATTTTTCTGGTACAGAAAATCTTCGATCTGCATCTTCCAAAAAGCCAAAGTCTGCACCATCGAACCTTTTAATTTTCACATTCCCTTCGTCTACAGCCATCGCTCTCACTCGAATCTAGCTTCTTCGGATCGTTTTTGACAATTTGTGTGAACCACCGTGTATTATAACACCTCCGTCGACAAATTCGTATCGCCGACAAAATTTCACTATTCACGAAATTTACTATTTACGTGAATAGTAATAAATAGTAACCTCGCAAAAAATTGACAAAATTCACAACCTAAAAGCTCTTATTACCAGTTGTTAGGAAATAAACGAGTAACAAGTAATTTCCCTATAGCCAGATTAGTGAGAATACAAAATAAAAGCGGAAAAATAATACCCGAAAAATTGATAACGGAGTTCAGCCAATTGTGCTTACATCTCCGGACTGCTGTAGATATTTTACTAAAGAAAAAAATTACAGGTGTTTACAAAACACACTTGAGAGAGAACTTGAAGATTTTGGGATGATTTTAAAACTAAATGGACTAGAGTATTTATAGTTAAAGCTTAAGGACTAATCTTAAAAATACCCTAAAATGTATAGTGACTAAATATATAATTAACCTTATTACAATTTAATTAAAAAATTAAAACACCAAATTCGGTGCCCCTTGTTGATTTTTAATCATCCTCAGCCGCACTCTTTGACTTCCAACAGGGGTGATGTGTCCGGTGCACTGCTTCCACATCCAAGAATGTTGATGATGCCTGGTGGTAGACACTTCGATTCTGAAGAAGGAAAAGATTCATCATATGAAACTGGTCCTAATCAGACCCGAATTCCATCAAGGAATTGTTTTTGTACTCGAGGGGAAAATCAAAGTCTTTCCGCGTGATGTGGGTTTTACCTTTATTTCAAACAGTTCTCAGCTCGCGTAAGTACGTCTCTTAGAACTTCAACAGTTAATTTTTAGGGTAAATTTTAGTACTTAAACTATCAGTTTTGATCCGTTTTAGTGTTTAAACTTTTAATTTTTTTTCTCAAAATCATACCCAAAATTTAATTTTTTGTTTCATTTTAGTACTCCTGTTTAAAAGTCGTTAAGTTTTGAAAATAATTTAAAGTTCATTTACTAAAACAGACCAAAATTGATAGTTTATGTATTAAACGCTTTCAATTTTTAACAGTAGATACTAAAATAAAACAAAAACTAAAACAATAGATATGATTTTAAAAAAATTGAAAGCTTAAGTACTAAAATGAATCAAAATTTAGTTTAGGTACTAAATGCATAGTTTACCCTAATTTTTATTATATTACTTTGATTTTGTTGCGATAAAAGATAATACAAAGAAAATATCCCTTGTATAATTCTTATCATCCGCATATACATTTTATATAAATGTTCGGATTTTTTAATTTTTTTCACGTGTCATATTCTATATTGAGAATATAAAATAATTTCTTAGTAAAAATTAGAAGAGAAACTGAAACCATAATTCTTTAACATTCAAACAGGTAAAAGCAAGTGTAGCTGTTGTAAAAACGAGTGCAACAATGAAGCGAAAATTTTGTCGCCATATATTGTTTTCCTTCATAATACATATGGAGAGAGACTACTATGAACTGTGCGGCGGTTTATTCATGTGCCTGAAAAGTTGAGTTTGCTCTCGAAGGACGAGAGAATCAAAGAAGTGGCGATAAACAAACGGCGGCATATCTGTCTCGAACGTCCAAGAACGCCTTTTGTTTGCTGTGTTCTGTCAGTTTCCGAGTCTTGACATGCTGGAGAGATGGATTATTGTCCATGATCAAGAGCCATTCGCTAGTCTGTTCAGAAATGCGATCACTTCATCCGATGAACCAAGTATATATCGAGCACTTGTACGTGTCCGTCCAACGGCGCAGGAGAAGTAGTTATCTCCTTTGAGATCAAGCACGCTCCAGGCCATCTTTTCCTTTTCGGGTGGTGCACGCCGTATGTTCCCACCGTTATGGTTATTATTGCTGGTTCTTCTGTCAGGGGCAGGAGAAGGACAGGGTGTCTTAGTCTGCGATGATTTTGCCCCATTTTTATTTGCTGGAAGCTTCGAAGGAACCTTTCTCTCTGTAGGTAACCTTGATCCATCGCTTGTTGGCTTGCTTCTAGGCACACTCGTTGCATCAGAAGGCAGCTCGGGCTCGAAAAACGTATAAACATCTTCGTCCTGGTGAAGCCATGAAAATTATCTCATCGTTAAAGGACATCAAACGGAGTTTTAATACCACGCATGTTTTGTTCAACAATATACGCTAATATGGAACCTCTCAAAAGTAGCTCAAATGGTTTAAAATAAGGATTTTTTTAATGCAAGGTTGATCAGAATATTACCTTCTGCAGGAAATGTCCGACACAAAGGACGTAATCAATCGGCGTTGTCATCGATTTATTGTGAACTATCTCTCCTAAAATACGATCGATGGCTGCCCCCTGGATTTAAATGAAATTATGCCGCTAAACTAAAAGTATTCAAATAGATTATACAAAATCCATGTATGGTGAACAGGCAGTTACCTTTGTAACACCGACTGGTCGCACCTCAACTGATCGACTTCCTTGAACAACATCAAGAGATGCATTAGAAATTGGGCCGGTCCAGAGATGCTGCAGCATATCTCTCGCCTGAAGTCGTCCGAACTCTACATCTATAGACAAATAACACAAAAGGAGATACATGAAAGGTTCAGACAAGCAGGGGTGGTATCGACCAAGAGAAAACTCAGAATTCGGAGATCAGACGAAGTTACCTGCATACTTGTAATTCCATACAAGTGATGTCTCACGAAAATCGAAATGTGATCTTGGTGTTCTGTCTCTGAAATACTCGAAAACATGCTGCCATCGTGCCATCAGCATAATTAGGCAAAGCAGGAAAGACAAATTGGATGTAGAGTGCATTAAGTACAATTTAGTTACCTTCACACTATCAACCCATTCCATATTCAGGTGTTCTGGCATGGTTGTCATCCAATCTCCCTTTGTATGGCGTAGAAACATCCCATTTTCCGCAGCCAACCACATGTCATACTCCCAAAAGTCCTGCAAGAGCAATCAGTTGGTTTTGATAGAGGACAAACCAAGGATAGAAAAGCAAAACAAATTCCCCGGCGTACCTCATCCAAGACATCTCTCTTGCTCCCACTAAGGACAACTATCGTTGTCTTTGGATCATTACATAGAGCTGTTAAGGGCTCTTTCAATTCAGGGTGCAATTTAAGGTCCATTTCTTTGAATTGATCACCTCGACTCCCAGGAGTATCCACTGGTTCGGTTAAAGTTGCATTAAGACCCTAAGTTTTGGGCCATCCCCAAGATGTTGTCAACAACATAGGAAGCATATGGAACATTAATAGCATGCCTCCGCTAAAAGAAAGGAGGGGGGGGGGGGACGGAAACCGTAGAGCTAACAATCACTTTATCATTGACAGTAATGGTTAGATTACGTAAAAATGTTTAAAGAAAGGGCAAATATTACTTGCTTTTAGTTGACACAAGAACAATTATACAGGCTATGGGCTTGATGTGTAATACTTTCAGGTCTTGGATAAAACCTTTACTGGTTGAGGGGAATTTTAAAATAACAGATTATTGGTCAAACAACCATACCAGTATCAGCAATCGGTTGCTAGACTGCAAGTAGCGGTCCACTGGATCATTTTGTGGAAGCTCAGGAGGCTTTTTGCTTATCCTTAGTTTTGCTTCAACAACAGTATCGTTCAGTTCACTGCAAAGTATTTATAGGGAACTCAAATATATGTGAATCCTGGTAATTTTTCCATTATAGGGTTAGCACAACAGGGACACATTAGTTTTAATGAGGGCGAAAAAAGGATTCCCACGTCATTTATTTTTATTATTGGGAAATAAAATGTACTGATCTCGGGAGTGAACACAAAGAATTGGTACTGATGATAATCTCTGGCATTTACATACTTGTTAAGGTACCTAAGCTAAAAGCAAATGGCTTGCCAACACCCAGTTAGCCTAGCCTATATGATCAACATGTTCCAGAGGGTGTGGAAACTCGAAAGCAAGAAAGAACAAGCCAAAAGATATATTTCAAAATGGGGCACAAATTGAATGCATACCTTACAAATGTTTCAGCCCATTCTTGAGCAGTGTGTGATGTCACGTGATGGAAATTGTGTTGATGTCGCTTCTTCCTTTCTTCAGCTGACATATTCAGAGCCTGGCTAATAGAAGCAGCCACTTCAGTGATATTCCAGGGATTTACTAGAATTGCTCCAGCACCAAGAGATTGTGCAGCACCAGCAAACTGTAAGATACATCAAGGGTACTAAGGTTGGAAAGAACTACTTTCACAAAAAATCTGATTACAGAACTGTAATCAATTTGTTGAAGGCAAGAATGTTGATTAACCTAAGTCTTCAGTTTAGAATGAAAATCAAGTAGAAAAAGAAACAGTTTTTTCAACCAAAAACATGCAATGAATACTTTTAGTAAATAATTACTTCACTGAGAATGAGAACCCCTTTCTTTGCATCCTGGCAAGCAACAAACTCATAACTGACAAGGTTCATGCCATCCCTCAAGGACGTGACAAGAGCGACATCTGAAGAAAGGAGGAAATTTCATCCATTATGATAGACATCAATACACAATTAAATAACAGTGCCATGAAAACTTTAGTACTAAAAACCATATACCGAATCAATCATGACCGAAATGTTATCATTTTATGAGCTTTGCATGGTGCAAAAGAACAATATTCTAAAACAGATTTTTACTAATACCATGGAGACTGATAAATATTTTAAAGTCTCTAAATGTGGTTTACTATTGGTAAGTTAATCCCATTTTTTGCAAAAAATTATTGGATTTTTCCAGATATCTTTAGAGAACAACTGGCTGCCTTTTTACTCAGAACCCTCCGAAGGAGTCTCAACTTTGTGAAAAGTTGCAATCCTTCGAAGTATCAAAAGACAATAAAAACAACTTTATTGCATTTTACAGAAATATACGTGAACTAATCATGATTTCCATAGAATATTACTTGCAAGAAGTGATATCAGGGTCATTGTTCGTTTCTTAAGTACTATCTGTTATTGCAACTACGGAAGACCAAATCAATGGACATCTGAAAACATAGAGCACAACTTGAAAAGCAAAAGTAAAAGAGGACTAATTTCAAAAGGTTAAATGGTAAAACGACTAAGATCAAACAAATAAATTGAAGAATGAAAAGAAAAAACAATTGAACAAGTACCAGTAACAGCGTATAATGCACATAGTGCTTGAAAGTCGAGTGAACGATCCTGTACAGATGAAAAAAGGCATTGGAAGATTCCTCGGTGATTAAAAATCAATGACGACAAACGATAACTTAAAATATGATTTATCTTGCTTGTAGGAACACATGATCAAAAACAGGTTCAATTATAACAAAATTACAGAATATTCAGGAAAAGAAAAATAACAGCCAGCCTGAAATTTGACCTATTATGACTATTATAATTCATTCTATAGTCCAGACAATATATCATACCCCTGTATATTAATATTTCCTTTTCTAGTCTAGTGAGTTCATAAAAGAAAAAGTTCTGTATATCTCACAGTATCCGCAGAAGGCAAGTACTTCCTCTGCATTTAAAACTTTAGTCAATTTAGTGGACCCATCTTCCTAAGGCACTAAACAGCATAATCAAACTATAAGGGCAGAGAAATTACCTGCAAAAACTAATGTAATGGTAAATTTCTATTACTTTTTTTTTGTGTGTGTTTGTTTGGGGTGGGGGCACAAAAGGAAAATAGAGTGAAAGATATGCATGTTTTTGAGCTCTTCAGTAGAGGATGCAGTCATGCAGATTGCAGAGGCAAAATTAATGCCACCAAAATTCTATTTTAGTGATAGTTTGAATCTGGGGCATACTGTTAATTCTGGGACAGCCCCATTATGATAATTCTCAACTCTAATTTCAAAACAAGAAATGGGGATCTGTTTCTTGTACTCAATTCTACTGTCTCTTCCATTCAATTTCCAACAGAAATGGCTAATCTTTAACATTTACTTTTCTGTAAGATGTTTCATATTTCACTCCTACTTGAATAATAGCAGCCCATCTGTTTCCAATAATCACTAATACATGCACGTAATGTTTGAAATATGATATGTCAAAATGACAGGCAACAGAAATTCTGCAGGCAATGTGGTTCAAATAGAAGAATTCATGAAGCTAGCAGATAAAATGCATGCAAAGCATATCAAGCATGAAATTCAAAAACAGACCAGGTGATGTATTGGTACTGCAGTCAATGATCCAAACCGACCATTAATACGCCCAACAATCTCATGAACTTGGCTTGTAAGTTTCTGGTCTGTGGACAATAGTAAGAAAAACTAAGAATTACGTTCAGCCAAACACACTAATCAGGGAATTTCCACATAATTTCATTATTTATAAAATGATCACATTAAGAGTAAAAAATGATATGATCAAATTGACCACGCACGATGAACACAAGAAATAAAATATGTAAGACAAAGTTGGCAACATTATCATCCTGCGGTTTGCATATACTCCTAGAGTCTGTAGTAAATAATATCAAATTCTTATTCATTGGACAAAAGCAACTGAAGGTTTATGAAGAGTCAGGATCACTAGAAATAGAAGAATGTTAATTATCTTCAACTTTGCTCAGGAAGCAAAACGTACTTCAGGTAAGCAATTGAAGAATTAGAAAAACATATTTATATGTCAAAACTTGACCCTCCGCATAAGAACATAGAAGGGAAGTAAGGTTTGAAGCAATCTAACATCATATCCTAGTTCAGACTTCACAAATATGGTCCTGGAAAACTAAATCCTTTATAATTTAATTGTCACTTTTTCACATATTTAGGCATGCAATTGACGATATCATATTTTAAGTACAGGAGTGAAAATTTCAGGCTCCTATTGTAGATGTACTTTTCACTTTAAAGCTTCTAACTGCTAACTGATATTCCTGGTCTAACATGGTCAGTCGGAAACATCTGGAGCCTCTCTATGCTCAATGGTTAGTAATACACAATTTAAAGAAGGTTGAGAACACCTACCCAAGATCCGACTCAAGAATACTAACACATAACAAAAACAGAAAATCATATTGTATGGGCAAGCTTTCTTGTAAAGGAAAACTAACTCCAGAAATATACCATACCTGGCAAACACAAAAAAAAAAAAAAAAAAAAACTGGAGCACATATCTACAAACAAGAGAAAGGAAGAAGCGTACATTCGGGAACATCAGTCCTTGTTGGCACTGCAATTTGCAGTAAAACAACTTTATCACGCCAGTAAGGATTTTCCTCAAGAAACTTTTCAAATGCCAATATCTTTTGGGGAATTCCTTTAATCATATCAAGACGATCAACGCCAAGCATTACCTGCCAAGTTTGGACAGTTAACAATAAGCACACAGGCAACAAACAAATAATACAAACACAACAAAATAAGGGCACATGAGACTTATACTAAAACAAAAAAGAAGGTATGTAAGAGAGAATTTTGTATTTCTACATGGATTTAAAAGCATTTATAACAAATTGGCAGACATTTCTTATCCTGCATTCATTAAATATAGGGTTTCCTGTAGTCTTTTCAAGTTGTGCCTCTCCACTTAGAGCCAATTATTTTTAGGTTAGATGCTTAACAGGTACAGGTATACACTCTGGTATTACATTAAAATACTATAAACGCATATCTCATTTCTATATATAGAATTAAAAATCAGTGCTTGTGTGTGTATATTCAATAGTTATTCAAGCATGGCCTGACCAATGATCAGGGTAGAACTTTATATTTAACAAACACTGAGTTTTAGTCAAAACAATCAAACAAAATGTTTTTAGAATACTTGCAAAGCCAGAAATCACAGTTTTCATATTTAGAAACAAGCAAGCAGATGAAGAAATTGAAGAATATAATAATACCAAAAGGTAAATAAACGATCTACCTTTCGGCCAGAAAACCTTTCTTTCAAGTCTTTGATGTGTTCCTGGACCTGAGGAAGCTCAAGTGCACGAATGAAACGCTCCGAGTCTATCCCAATAGGAAACTGATGTCTCAAGCAAGTAAAGAACATAAAAACAAGTCTAAGAATTCATTGCAATATTTCCAAAGGAAAAACATGTTTAAAACTAATATTCCTAGAATCCTAGAACAACACCGAAGCAACAAAGAAAAAGAATTTGAAGGCACAAGATCAATCAAGTGAAAAAAAGGAATCAAACATACCGCAGCAACACGAGTCAGTCTCCCTTGATCCTCAACTCCTTCAGGTGTACCCTCAAATCCAAGTATTCGAGTACACGCACTAACAAAATGTCTGGCATAGTCATAGGTATGAAAACTGGAACATGTAAAAAAAATTGTTAACTGCAAGTTAAACAAACAGGTACACAAGTCTGAGGTACACATTCTCAGAGGTGAAAGAATCAAAGGGAATTAACCACTTCAAAGTAATAATACCTTTAGACCTATCAGAATCAAATGCAATCCATCTTAAATCCAAACATCTACACAAATAATGATTTTTTTTTTCATTTTGCTAACTTTTCATCAATAACGAATCACCTTTCTCCGAAGAGTTTCAGAAAGTTCGATTGCAAGAGATCATGCAATGCTGAAACCACATAATCCTGTTTGTTTGGTTTAAACTATAGCACATGGTAGTTACATTAAGCGAAATTAACAAATTCCCATCCACAGAACAAAATCATTAAATTACAAGGCTGTGAAAATGTCAGTGCAACAGAACTGCCGATAGAAACATCAACCATTCCACACCAAAGTTTGAAACAATGAACATGGTACAAGTAGAAAGAAACACCAACTGCAAAAAACTGAGGGGTAAATAGGCTAAGAGTAAAAAATATGTAGCTATACTATGCATATCCAGATTTCATCCATTGAGATAGATTGATAACTTATGCCTGAAAAGCAAAATAAATCAATCATGTTAAATCAGCAGAAACCTACCCAACCAAGTCAGCAGCAAGAACTGAACGCAAAAGCTCAGATCTTGATGGCAGTGTCCTATGAATTTCAGAAGAAGGGAATGGTGTATGTAGAAACCAACCAACTTTCATATTGGTGTTGTGTTTCTTCAGGCATTCTGGAAGATACATGAGGTGGTAATCATGGCACCAGACGACATCCCCCTCTTCATAGTGCATATTTACAACATCAGCAAACATTTGGTTTGCTTTCTTGTATGCCGCAAACTGGGACTGGAAACTTCTTGTGGTAGCAAGGCGATCTTCTTGTGGAAGTCCAAGGTAGTGAAAAAGAGGCCACAAAATATTGTTGCAATAACCATTGTAGTACTGATGAACAATCTCTTCATCGAGGAATACAGGGATACACCTCTGCAATGATAAGTGCCTTCAAAATAAGTCGCCTATACCGTATACAATCGGATTGCATTCCAAATAGAATGCTTCAAATGCATATGCAACTAAATACCTTTTCAGCCAAAGCCTTAGTAAGTGCCTTCTGTCCAATCTCATCTGGAACGTTTACACCAGCCCATCCAATCCACCTTGCTTCAAATTCCTTGACACCTGGAAAGTTCATCAAAGTTATTATATTCCTGAAATGGAAAATGAATGAGTAGTGAAACGTGAACAAAGTAAACCAGGGAGTCGATATCTTACCCAAGAGAGCAGTTACAAGACCTCCAGCACTTATTTCCAGTGACCACGAGTCTTCACCTCTCCTCACAGCAGAAACCGGAAGCCTATTGGCCACTACCAACAGTCGTTGCCTGAAAGGCTTTCCATCTTGTCTTTCACATCCCTCTATCAATGCCCTTGCAAGTGCCGCATCTTCCAAGTATTTTTCAACCAAAGCAACTCTAGAGGTGTCACCTTCTCTAAAACGTGGGCCATTCTCAGATATTTCAGCTGCCTTATGAATATCATTCACATCATTTGAATGGGAAGCTCTACTGCTTTTCCTTTGCTCCCTTAGCTCTCTCTCCCGCAAGAGGCGTCCCACACGAGTTGGTATATGGGTCGAATTACCATTGTACTTGTTTCCAGGCATACGCTCAATCTAGAAACCAACAACCAATACCAATTTTATAAGCTCTCAGAATAATTTTATGTGCTGCATTTTTGTTTTAGTAGATTAAGTGTAGTAATCAGAATAATTCACAGAAAGCTCAGTGTCTTCCTAAATTAGGTGGTACAAGACTCTGCTGCCAATAATTTTGTACAAACAGTTATTAAGAATTCCGTTGCCATTATAAACTTCTGATTGCTTGAATTTCACAAAAAAGAAGTAGCAAACAACATATAAACAAAAGGACAGAAAAAAATGGAAAAGATAACAAATAAAATGGGATCCACAGAATTTGATGCTTAAATGGGGTCCAACCGTGAATTTTTAATAATTGAAACCCAAGATTTCTTTTAGAGAAAAAAAGGAGCAAGAATGGCACATTAGTTGAGCAGAAACAAAGACAACATCCACACGGCTATCTAGTTCCGTTCATTTTTCAAAGATTCCACAAGAACCCATCATCCATTTTAAAACATTAGTTCGTTAAACTAGAAGAATTTACCACCTTCAAGAACGAATCCTAAAAAACAAAAAACCCACTATTTCCAATACAAAAAATTAACCTGCATATGCTTTGCTAGAACACGTGAACTTCTGTATTAGGTGAAGTTGAAGCAGAAAAGGATTAGATGAGAAAGGTAAAGAAATGAAACAGGATATTTCCAGCAGAGTGTAGTTGTGGGTGGTAGAGATTTATGATAGCAAGGAAAAAAGTAAGGATGGAACACAATTCTTGTGAAATATTTATAAGAGCACTTAAAAGATCGAGTTGAAACCGGGAAGAAAAGGTTTTACCAATAAAAAAACCAGAAAATTAATATAGTAAAATACTAATCCAAAACCTCTGAACATGTAAGAAAATGGGACCATATCAATCAAGTAATTTAATACGTTGATTAAATGATTGTTACTAAAAATATTCGATGACGAAAGCACATAGGGGAGATCTTCAGCTTTGTTTTTCTACACGTTCCTCGGTGGGTCCTCATCGGGTAAGACCACATGAGCATTATTCCATTCTTATCGGGAATTTAAACAGATTTCTAATCTGAACCGCTTCAATTTTTATTATTTTAATTTTGTTAGTGATAGAACAAATAATTTTTTTTTAAAAAAGTTGTCTTTTTATTCCACAAAAAAGGGTAAAATAAAACAATCAAATCTCTTCACTTATTATAATAATTAAACCCCTATTTTCGAAAAAAAGGAACAGAAATTTTAAACCATTTTTCCTTTTAGTGAAAGGAAAGACAAGTTCATATTTTAGCATTAGCCAATGTCGTCAGCTGGTTTTGTCAAAAGGCTCGAGATATCAATGTACTACCCTTGAAAACCATGGCAGACTCTAGAACGCAAAATAGGAGAAAACAAGAGACGTCACAATTAAAAAATTAATGCGACAAGTACATAACTGTTTGGAGATGCGGTAAAATGGAAGAAAGCGACTAAGCAATAGTCTAAAAGCTAAAACAATAGTAACAATGTGGACACTTTCTCAGAAGTTGCATGCATAAGAATACATAAAATTGATAAAGAAGTCCACGCAGATTGCTATCATTAGTTGACTTGTTCATTACATTGTAATTGAACAAAGAAGAAAAGAACTAAAGAGTATGAAAAATGCTGTGCAATACAACAATTAATCAAATCTTTAGAAGCAATTCAAATATGAATTTTTTTCTTACATATATAGGATAATATCTAAGAAGAGGCGTGGGAACTGCTAAGGTCCAACTTTTGGTCTAAGACAAGATACTAGTAAATCGAAATTGATTTGGTCAAATTAGGTATACTCTTACTAAACATAGGTATAAAATGTGATATATATTGTAAATATATATGTGTAACATATAGAAAGATTCCAATATATCAACAGTTCAAAATGAAAAGAATATTACCAACAATGAATCAAAAATTAAGTTTTGGGATTTTATATCTTAAGTTTGAGTTTCACTATGTCTGGGCTATTAGTCTAAATTTTATTATATTTAAATCTCACTACATGTGATCTTTCCAATCCTTAGTCTAAATTATTGTGATAGTTATTCGGATGTGGAAACGTTTTAATTTGAGAAATTCTATTCTATATTTTTAATACCTTATTTAAATTAAAATTTTAAAATAAATAATAAAAATAAGATTCAACTTAGGTTGTCGTCTAAGTTAAGAAGAAAGTGTCTAAAAGGAAGGGCACAAGCATGTATGGCATAAGCATGCTTTTCAGAACCGGACCGGTTAGCAAACCGGCCATGCTATCGGTTCACTGGTTCAACCGGACGACGTCATAATTATTTAAAAAATTAAATAAAAATACCAAAAATATTTAATAAAAAATAATTTTTTATATCACAAGTCATATTCAAAGCAAGTCATAACATATATAAGTTAAAAACCATAAAATCAAGTGAAACAAAATGATTCAAATTAAGTACAACATAATATTTAAGGTAAAACATATTAAATAATAAATATAATTATATAACTATAATTAAAAAATAAATTTGGGGTTAAAAAATCATAACAAAATGATATTGTTTGGTTTAATTTTTTTTTTTAAAAAACAATCTCACATGGCTAAGAAACATAGAAGAGCATCCCAAAAGTCTAAAGAGTAAAAATATGAGAACAAAACAATCACACATTGCTAAGAAACATAGAAGAACATCATAACTAACTTCTATAAATAATAGAGGTAATTTGGCATTTAAAATAATGGAGCCTTTTGGTGATCATTGAGTGAATTATTCTTTCCCTTCAATCAAGCTTGAATTTTAGGCTTCAATCGAGCTTCTAAATTTTTTTTAGTTCAAGCCTTTTTGAGTTCAAGTTTCAATACTATATTTCGAGTTTGGGTTGAACTTGACAAATTTTAACTTGTGAGTTTGAGTCGAGTTGAGCTTACTTTTAAAATTTTCAAGTTCGAGTCGAGTTCAGCAATACTCAAGTTCGACTTGGCTCAACAAACGACGTTGTTTGGTTTAATTTTTTTTTTAAATAAAAAATAAAATTTCCGACTTTTTCCGGTTTTCAACGGTTCTGACGGTTCACTAGTAGCGGTTCAACCGGTTTAGATTGAACCGGACTAGCACACAGTTCTCGGTTAAACCGGTTAAACCGGCCGGTCCGGTCCGGTTTTCAAAACAATGGGCATAAGCCGCATTCTAGGCATGAAAAAGAACCATGTGACATTCATGAATTGTTTCAACTTAAACTTTTATTATCCTCATTATATTCAACGCATCGAACCCCACTCTGGGTATTATCAAATGTGTTTTTCATTTGGAAATGATTATAAAAATTTTCTATCTATACCAATCTTGTAAGAACTAAATCTGTGGTCAATGAACAGTGTTCACTGCGATGACATGTTAAACCCTACCTTGATGAGTGGGGGGCTACTAGTACTCTTTTGCTAAGGGGAAATTTCTGAACATCGGCCTGTGTATGTGGAGAACAACCAAAATGGGGCAACCGTTTCCCTGATGAGTGGGGGAGCTACTAGTACACTTTTGCTAGAGGAAATTTCAGAACAAAAGGCTATTTTTCGACCTGTGGAGAACAACCAAATGGGACAACGGTTTCTCCATTTTACTAGAGGAAATTTTTGAAGTAACAGACATTTTCCCAACTTGGGAAATTGACGCAACTGAGAACAGACGTTTTTTAAGTAAAGCACCGAAACGACAAACCATAATGCTTGGCCCAGACGTATTCCTAATTTGATTCCTTGAAAGAGAACATAAATGATAACTGCTTTAACCAAATTAAACAGAGAGTACATATTAGGAATCTCCTTGGTACCTAACCTGATGTTCGAAAATGATTTGCCACCAACTTGTACTGTACGATTAGAAGAGTCGGGCACCTAACCTTGTAACACGCTCTGCACATTTTAAGCAAGATTTCCTAGTCAAAAAACAAATTTGATTCCAAAGCATAAAGCTTGTAGACTAGCTAGATAACAATTGACCAAAATCAATTCAAGTCGAGCAATAGCAACTGAAGAAACAAGAAAGAAAGATAACAGAGACAGAAAAGAGAAGCGTTCGGCAAAAATGGATAACATAAACAATCTGGTGCTAAAAATGTCGGAGATTAATGGTCAAGTAAAATGCCGCTACTTATGGTCTAAGAGGAAATGGGGATTGGGGAAGACCTGCATGAACTTCTTGTCGGCGAATGGGGGGACTTTTGGTTTTCGAAAGTGTGATGATAAAAAGCAAACAGAAATATTTTGTTTAAATGTCTTTTTGAATGATGACTATTATCGAAAGACAGATACCGGAAAAGAACCATAAATCATGTAACTAAATCGATGAAAGGGAAGAAAAGGAAATGAGCGAAGACCAGAAAATTGACAGAAAGGACTTTGCATGCTGCTTTGTTCTTTCTCTGTACTAAACGAAGGCAAAGTGGGGTGGGATTGGTATCATTGCTTGTGGTCAGAGATAGGAAGGAAGATACGGGGGATCCTAGAGCGTGAGTGCCCGTGAAAAGATATACATTGCTGGCCACTCGCCAGGGAATTTTCAGTGAAGGCATATGAATCTGCCACTCATTCACGAAAGAGGGTTGATACCCACGTGGGTCCCAAAAAAATTTATGTCACAGACTTCTTGCCTGGGCTGGTGTTGGGACCTTGGTCTGGCCAACCAAATCACCTGATGAGATGATATTAATCATCCAGTCTGGCAAACACTTTCGTGGAAGCAAAAATGACCTCACACCAGGGTTGTATTTATGCAGCTTATAAGGATCAACTGCATACCTATACCTATTATTTTGGGAAAGTTATTAAATTTAGTTTAATTTAATAAGAGGAAAGAAAAAATAAAGAAATTTGAAAATTTATTTTTTCTAAAATATTATATATTAAAATTTTAGAGTGCCATTTTTAATTTATAGATTCGCCCAACCTCACAAAAACACTGTAAAAAAATCTCTGAATTTTATGTTGAGGCCTAGGAAAGTATTTTTTAATGTGGGCTCATGGAAATGTCACATCGTAAAACGTCTAAAACGTAAGCCTGCCTTAAAGGCTCGAAGGCTCAAAGTAATGGCTGGCTAGTATCTAGTGGCTAGTCTAGCATAAAAAAATCCTCATTGTTTTCATCTAATGGGACTAATAGAGAAAGTACTACGCTCTGGTTCTGAAACTCCTCGTGATTTTCCTTGAAACTCAAATTACAAAACAAGAATCATACAGAGAAATACAGCTTGGGTCAATTACGATTTAGAAAGAGCAAGAAGTACTCGGTTTTCAATTACAGATGTATCTGGTTTTCAAATTCTAGGTGTGATTAGTAAGTGGGGAATATATACTATTCTTATCTAACGAGTCAGGGAATCTCTACGTACCAAATGAAGACACGTAAATTCCGAGTTCCTATGGAGTTCTCACTCCCTCTTTCGCAATCAGAGAAACTAAAATTAGTCATCCTATCCACTGTAAGAGATCAGAATAGCAAGATGGGCAGCAATTTGGCCAGTTTGCTAAAAGAAATTGTCATTTTCTTCACTAATGATTTTGGCCCTCTTTCCTTCTAGTGTATAATCCTCAAACAACAATTATTGAACTTATTTCCAAAAGTTAAACACACTGCCGTAAAAGATACAAGGGTAGTCAAGACTTAACATCATAATCTCCTGGGCCTCACAGAGAAATATCCTCCGGTAAATTATGATATTTGAAAGTTCCAGATGCAATTGGCTGTAAAGCCTGCTATATGATTAACTAGCCGAAAATGCAGCCTCCTCTAAAGGCATATTAATGACAAATCTGAGAACAACGTTTGCAGAGACCAAAATGTGCTTAACCTCAATTTTAATGGAATGCTTGTAGAACAAGTTCTACGGTGTCCCATTAAAGGAACCTGCTTCGTGCTTTCTCGAAGTCTTAAGAACCGAAGAAAGTCTAGGCAGCTCTGTCAGCAACTAAACTCGGATTCCACTAGAAGTAGCACACTACCAATTGGCTACATACACTAGAATCTAACACACTTTTAAAAAAAACCTTCAAAGACGAATATCGTATTTTAAAAATTAAAAGGAATCACAATATTTAAAAATAATAATAAGTAGCTTTTTTATTGAATAATTATTTCTAAAAACTAATGACTACTGTATTTTAATTTACTTTGTCAATACAATTTTAAAATAATAAATATTGTACTTAACTTTCATAATACCAATTTAGTGAAAGCTTTCTAATTAATATATAATCTTATTCGAAAATGAAGCAATATAATTAGGAACTTTTCTTTCCTAAAAACTAAAATAGTAAAATGTCTACATATTGTAATTTTCAATATCACCGTATGATTAAAAAAAAAACAATATCACCGTATGAGTCTAACAACTTTCCTATAACCAAATTTCATATAAACAAAAAACAGTATTATTCTACGTTCAAAATACAACAAAAAATCCAGATATAGACAGAATCATTTTGAAAAATAAATAATAAAGTAATTATCATTATTGGAAAACAACGAAAATCTCGATATTGCAAACAAAGAAACAAAACTTTTCTTTCAATATACGCCAAAATTTCTTCTCTCGTTTAACAGCAACCAAACAGATCAGCCTTGAAACTATGAACTTTATTTCTCAAGACAATTCTTAAACGGAATCACGAATAACGACGATGAGAATCAACGTGCCTCTAGTTATCGGAATTCCAAACAAAAACAAATAATGATGATGATCGATATTTTAAGATTCAAACTCAAACAGAACAAATAAGAAAAACAGAACAGAGGCTGAAAAGAATAAGAAAGGAGAAAAATTAACCTTGAGAAAATGTAGTAGTAGATCTGGCTGTTGAAGAAACCGCTCAAATGATATGGAATTTCAAAAGAACAAGCCTCAAATTGTTGGATGTCAAATTCGAATTAAATAAAATGAAAATAAAAACAGAGTAAGCGAATTTTCAGGAGAGATAGAGAAGAAGAGAAAGATGAGGATATTTATAGGAGAGAATCAAAGAGGAGAGACTGAGAGAGTAATGGCGTATTGACTTCGCTTCGTTTGTGTCCAATCATTTGGAGGGAATTTGTTCTTTCTCGCTTTTCAAAAAACAATTATTAATCAAATTTTCCTTTTTTATATGGGTAAATTACTTTAAATCTCATTAACATTTCGCTTTTTACTATATAATTTTAAATATATATATATTTAATAAATAATGAATTTGATTGACCACAATATTTTCCACTAACATAATCTAAAAGTATAGTTAATTGCATCGCGCGTATTTAAATTATGACTATCATTTTAAATCACTTTAAAATTTTTAAATAGTTTAATAACATCCCTAAATCACGACTTTTATTTTAAAATAATCCTTAAACTTTTAAGCATTTCAATTTTATCGTTAAACTATAACTCTCATTCCAAATTAGTCTCCAAACTTTTGAATCTTCCAATCTCATTTCCACATTTATCCAAATATGTAATTAGTTTCAACCATAATTTAACCTAAATTTTATTTTTCTGGAAAAAAATATAATAATATAGATTGGCATAATTGTTTTATTATCAAGGTATGTGATTAGCATATACCAATAGTTTGGGATGAAATTGAAATGTTCAAGAGTTTGGGGATTAATTTTAAATGAGGGTTATAGTTTGGGATGAAATGGGAAGTTCCAAAAGTTTAAGAATTAATTTAGAATGAGAATAATTCTATGAATGAAATTGGAATATTGAAAAGTTTAAAAACCAATTGATAATGATAATCGTAGTTTGAGGATGTGTGGTGCAATTAACTCCTAAAATATGCCATGTATCTTTATTGGATAAACTACACTATGACCACTTAACTATGAGAGATTCTAATATGACCATCAATCTTTTAATTTTATTAATGAAACCACTAAATTATTTAGATAATGTCAATTAAGTCACAAGTCGTTAACATTTAATGAAGATGGTGACATAGTAGTTAAAAGCTTTGATATAATTAGACAATTGGTATTTTCTACTTACATATTATATCAATATGGTGATAACTTTATTTTCAATAAATTTAATCATCTAATTTGATAATGACACATATCACTAATGACAAATATCATCACATGATTGGATGATTTTTTTATACAATGACAATTGAATTTCATTAATAAAAATGGAGGGATCAAAATTACAACGCATCTAAAGAGAAAATTAGAGACAATAGTCACCAAAAACTCGTACATAAAACTGAAATAGTAAGCCCAAATATATGAAGAGAATGAAACTTTACAAACATCAAAACAATCTAGTAACCTTCATAAAACTCCTCGTCACTGTCGAACGAGACGTTTTACGATGTGATAAAGGAGTGGTGAGCAAACCAAACAATTTGGCAGATTGTTTCGCTACACGATTTTTATTATATCAGTAAACGATCATTTACAAAAGAAGGGATATGACAATACGTGACTACCGACAAACCAATCATAAAACAAATGTCGTGAGGATATTTGTAGAAGCACTAACACGACCGCATAAGTATGCGAAAAACTTACCGAAAACCATAAGAAACGTACCACAAGAGCATAGAAAAAGTGTGCCACAAGAGCAGAGAAAAATGTGTCACAATGACATATATTTTTATTTAAAAGTGAAAAAAAAAACTCAATAAAAAAGAAAAGACATAATATGAAAAAAAATAAGAAAAATAAAAATCATCGGCAACACCTATTTTTTATTGTCTCATCTGCTACATCAATTAGTGGTTGATAAGAAGAAAAGTTTTCTTCTATTGTTTCTTCTCATACTCTTCGGCCCGTTAAATGGCTTTCATCAAGGAGTATTTTATGGTATTGGATTTTTAACTGGTTGACACAAGAAGATTGTCACGTATAGGGATGAATAAAACTCGACTTGACTCGAGAAATTTATTCTTTTTACTCGGCTCAAATCGAATTGATTTCGAGTTACAATTTCATAAACTCGATTCGACTCAAAAAAATTTCAAGTTTAAATTGAGTTGTAAAACACAGCTCAAATAACTCAAAATTTTTAGTAATTAGTTGATTTATTTTCAAGTTTGAGTCGAGTTCTTCGACTTTGTATCATATATGTATATCACTTATGAAAAAAATATAAAGAAATATTTTTGTATTGTATATATGGTTATAGAAAGTCACTTAAATTAGAATCAAATAATATTATAATATTATAAATATTTACAATTAAATTTTAAAAAAATTCTAAAAATCGACTCGACTCGAAATTTTTTTAAGTCAACTATGAGTTGTAAAATAGAACTCGTCAACTCGAAAATTTTTTACTCGAATCGATCGAACGCTCACCCCTAATTATGATAGACATATTCATGTACAGTCTATCCGATGATCGGCTACCAAAGTTGCTTATTCTCTTGTAAGTTTTGCATTTTTGTTTCTAGAAAAAACCTTTATCAACCTTTTCTAAAAAAGTTACTATCAGCAAAAATATATATTTTAAAAAAATTCAATAAAAAATTATATTTAAATATATTTTTTAATTATTTACTATATGTAAAATAATTATTATCAAAATTATTTTCTAATTTTTTTTATTAAACTAAGGTGATTACAAAGTAGTATATATTATAAATACTCTCAACCATTTGATAATGAACGCTCAATCACCTTGCTGTAGTCTCTGGTGCACGAACCTGTGACCTATAAGAACAACAACGATTCTTTTAACCACTCATGTAAATTGGTTCGTCCTTAAAGAATATATTTTTAATTGAACAAAAGGAGTACATGTTTTTATATTTCTTTAAGCTATTCATGTTTTAAAAAAATTAAATTAAATAGCTTAATCAGTCATTATATCATTAAGCCTCAACCATTATAATACTTTGTCATTTGTCAATGAAAAGTAGGGATGGAAAATCAAATACCCATTTTTTGTTCATGAATTTCACTTCCCTCAACACAATAGTTTAGCTGATCAATTAACAACTTTTAACCTTTACGCAAAAGTTTTTCATAAAGTGATAGAGGTCACTACTTTCCTAAGCCACAAAGGAAAATCAATAGTACTAACTCTCTTCTTTTTTTTCCAATAACCTGAAGTAAATACAAGGTAGTATATGTTTGAAGATAACTCTCAATCTTTCAACATTGAACGCTCACACCCCTGACATCTATGGTGCTCAAACCCGAGTCCTCAGGAATAACAATAATTCCTTTAGCACGGAGGTCACTTGATTCGTGCAGTAGTACTTTAACTTAATGTTTGAGAATTGGAAAAAATACTAATTCATGCACTTTTTTAATTTTTGATAAATTAATATAATAATTATAAAATATGAATTCGATTTGATATTATCCATAAATGCTTCTAATCTTTATTTTTTAAACCCAAAACTATATTTTAACTATCTTTAATCCGTGTTTATAAGCACGAATTAACTCTATATTTAATATAAAGAGGGAAAAAAAACAATTGTTGAAAGCTATGTGATTCTTTTAACTTTTTAGAAAGTTAAAAATTCTGATAGCACTATCGATTTTGGCCCCCTAAACAAATATGCATGGTGATAGCATAGGCAGCACACTTGAAAGCTTTATGCTTTACGTCTCTTTTTAAATTTTTAGGTAAACTAAATATTTAATACCTAAACTATCAATTTTGATTCGTTATAGTACCTAAACTTTTAGTTTTTTCAAAATTATACCTCTCGTTTAGTTATTGTTTCATTTTAGTACCCCGCTAAAAACTTAACGTTAAGTTTTAAAAAAATTGAAAGTTTAGGCGCTGATAGCAGAGGCAGCAGAGTTGAAAGCTTTATGCTTTTACATCTCTTTTTAAAATTTTCAGGTAAACTACGTGTTTAGTATCTAAACGATCAGTTTTGGTTTGTTATAGTACTTAAACTTTTAATTTTTTCAAAATCATTCCTATCATTTAGTTTTTGTTTTATTTTAGTACCCGTTAAAAACTTAACATTAAGTTTTTAAAAGAAAATTAAAAGTTTAGGTACTAAAACAGACCAAAACTGATAGTTTAGATACTAAACACGTTAATTTTTTAACGACTGGTACTAAAATAAAGTAAAAACTAAACGTTGGGTATGATTTTTAAAAAATTAAAAGTTTAGATATTAAAATATGCCAAAACTGATAATTCAGGTATTAAAATCATAACTTAAGCAATTTTTTTTATCAACTTTGTGTATATTTAGCTCTCACTTGAGCAAAGCTACTTTTTGTTATTGGTTTCCCTACTTTCCTTTTGAGTGCTAAAATATAAATAGGGTTTTGCTTGCCTTTGCAGAAAGGGTTTTATGAAATTCAGTAACTCACAACTCTAGTGTCCGACTAAGCACTAGCTTTGTTAAAATATCATATTCCAATCTCAATCCAGTGGAAATTAAAACAGGAAAAAGATGCCTTTTCTGCAAAAATGAGACCCACGTAACATTGGCAAAATCACCGAAATAATGTAAGTGAGATTTTTTAATTTCCAATATAGTTCAACTTGGACATTATTTTTCTATATGGTGAATTGAACAGTACCTATCTAAATATGACAGGTGTTTCACGCGTCTTCAAATTAATATGAAGACTCCACGACTACATGACGTCTTTAAATAAATTGAAAAGACCCCATGAATGCACAACATCTTCAAACCAATAAAAAGTCTTAATTCAAGAAATAATATAACGAATGCCTTATATGAGAAAATAATTTTTCTCACAACCCTATATTAACGAGAAAGCCCACATTACACATTACACATATATATATATATATATGAAATTTTTTATTTTTATTAGATAAAATAGAGACATAATTGAAAAATATATAGAAATATATTATTATAATTATCTCTGAATATATAAGAAATAATTATAATATTTTATCGAATCAGATTGAATAAGAGATTTTTCATTTTAAACTTAAACATGATCTGATTCTATTCTTTTTTAAAAAAAATCAATCTTATAAAATTAGATTAA